CTTAAGCTACGTAAGTGCTCGGTAAATAAAAAAGTTGAGCATATACTTTCCAGGCTTTCTGCCGCACCCAACTCCTCTTTCCAGATTTTTTTCTGATTATCATCTTGGAGATATCTTCTTAAAGACCAATCATATAAAATATATACATATATATAAATAAAGCTTCCAATACATATTTCTATGCCTTAGAAGAGCTCGGTAAATAAAAGTAGGCCTCCTTCGGTGGATATAACAAAACTGAAAGCTGAACACAACGCATGGGTATGCATTTTTCATTACAGCAGAGAGCAAGCCTTACAACTAACTTCTGTAACAAAGCTTAAAAAATTAATTTGCAGTGAAAATAATAGTCTACCATCTACATCATTACCTTAATGTAATAAGCAGGATCTACCGGAAAGTTCTGTCCGCTTTTTACAAATAAAATAAAACCCTAGCTGTCGAACATGACCCATTGTTAAGGTAAATCAAGCTTTTCCGCAATTTTTCATGTTGACAATATCGCCGAAATCTAGAGCGTGGCTTATCAGAAAAATTAAAAGCACCTATGTAAAATTTTTCAATCTTCTGCATGTTTTATCAGAAACTATACTTTCACCAAATAGTTTCAATAAATTTTTACAGGCTTCCCTTCTTTTACATTTCTTTCTTTTCGCTGTTCATGTAAAATTCAGTGGCGTAAGCGAACTTTATAAACAGTCCTGCGTATCGCATCTCACTTAATATCAATCATCTTCGTTTTAGTTCATATGCTAGGTCAGCATGTAGACATTCAGTGATAAACAGAGGGAGCCCAAAATATGCGCATAGTTGTCGGAGCTTGCCGCAACCAGAATGGATAGACTTAATGTAATTAGTTTAGATTTAATCCCGCGACCATTGACTTGGCAATCGCCAGTCTCGGCAGGCCCTCGGCTGACTGATAACACAGTAAAATTCAATGCAGGCCATCATCACAGAGGACATTCCAAGCATTATCTCCGTGAATTTAATTTGATTTTCAAAAACTTTATACGATAATCATGCCTCGGTTAATTTTTCCAATTCGTCTCACGAATAAATTTATCGAATATAAAATTTCTAACTTTTCTAATAGCATTTCACTTACTTTCCCGTCAAAGATCTAAAATAACACTTTTTTAATTCTAAAGAAAAGACACGAAAAAAATTCAGAATATTGCCATTGGTTGATTTTTGTCGTAAGAATGGAATTCCTTCTCAAATAGGCAATAAGTCATCGGATAAAACGGGTGTGAATTAAAAGGATACTTGTTGAAACCTGAACGGACAGAGCTCTCTGGTATATCTAATACATTGATCTATAATGTTCAGTTGTTTAGGCATTCGAACTTCGTTAATGTGTTTAGTTAAATTCTCAGACACGCCCATTATAGTTTGATGCCTTAATTGACCATTTTATGAAAAATCTCATATGAATAACATGCAGCATCATATTGTTTCACGTTTAATTCAAACTTCATCTAACGGTTTGGGTAACTCGGTCGAACACAATCAAATGAACATAAATCATCGAACTTAACTACACGAACATAATAAATGATCAAACTTAACTAGACGAACTCAAATCATAATCAAACTTTTCGAAACGATGTTACTTAACTGAACCAACACAATTAAGTTGCAACGAAGAACGAGCGTTTCGTTTCGTTTCAATTGAGGAACATATCGTGATCATGAAACATTTTCAGTTAATTGATTATAAGATTTAAATTTACACAGTGTTGCATTTAATGTATTTTCTTATCCCTTTTTTTTTTTTTCTTTATATTGCATTTAAACACTAATATCTCTGTTTTTTAAAATACAAATAAATCATAAAAAGAAAAAAGATCCACATTAACCTTAGATATATCTGTGATTTAAGTTAGTAGTTTGTAGAATTATTAACCCACATATAAAAAACATATACACACAAAACATACAGATTTACATAGATCCATATAAATTTATTCTATTTTTGAGATGTTTCATCAAAAACAAGAGTATGAAAAAGGGAGGAAATAATCAAGAGAGAAAATCATTTTCGTTTTAAAAAAAATATATCGAACTTAATTTCAATTAAAGCGAATTAATATCATTAAATAAATGAATGGCAACTTTAGAGATAATAATATAACGAAATCGTAAGAAACGAAATGAAATTTTTAACGTAGAAAAATGAATACCCGGTTATATGTATAAAATGAATTTTGGATTTGTGATTAAAATCCCCGCCATATTAAGTAATTGATTACAGCGATCGTATTTGTATATGGTCTAGTGTGAATATAAAAGTTTACATCTTTGTCATTTTATTATTATTATTTTTTTTTTTATATATATATATATATATTAAATAATTTATAAAATAAATTTTTTCGTTTTTTTTTTTTATTAATATTAGCTAACATATTTCAGATTGTTATCATGCTGTAATTAATATTTTGATAAGCAATAAAAATAGATAAATATAAATGATTCTCGTTTTAATTTTTAAAATGCCGGGTAAGTATATGTATGCGGAGTTAAAAAAAAAATAAAGAATCAGCTGTCGTCATATGGTGTATGCATCCAACTGTTACTTGATACGATCATTTTTACACTATGTTGGAATAACAAGGTTCGCAAGATTATGTAGACTTTTTTCGAGCACGGATGGCAAGAACAAAATTTTTTCTTTTAATTTTTATTTTGTCAATGTCTTACAGAAATGTAATAATGGTTGTGCTACACATATCTGATATAGCTTCTGATGATAGTATTTTTGGTCCTGCCCATAATAAACGTGCACGCTTGCTGTCTAGTAGCGGTGAGTAATTGCGAAATTGATTTTTATATCTAATTTCTATTTCAATTTTTTTTTTTTGTACTTATGGATTAAATTGCCACTGTACACTAATATTAATTTTTTTTTATTTATAATAAAAGTGAGTTGTTCATTATTATTACTTTTTTTGCACGGATTTTTTCATTTTACAGGATTTTTAAAATAACAACACAGCCTCAAATTTACCGTATGTTGCATGCATTTTTTTACACCATTATTTTTACACGGGTTTATAAGGACGCCACTATCTACCGTGTAAAAGGGAAGTGGGTGCGCTTTGAAACTTATTTTACAATTGCTCTTGCGTTTTAAAAAGAAAGGTAAAAGAAAACATGTCTTTACTAATTTTCGATTAATTCTGGTGAGGATAGTAAGCTAGAAACAAAGATTAAAACTGAATGTGTTCTTCGGGACACGAATAAATCTGGAACGATCAGATGGCAGGTGCTGAACTAACTCTGCTACTCACATGGATTATAGTATATATATATATATATACTTGTGAGCTTTGCAAGGAGTGTTTCTTAGGATTTATAAACACTTGGCACAAAGGCAATGAAATTACCATAGGTGTCCTTTCTGATAGCTTTCTCTATAGCAAACATTGGAAACTAATGAGTTTTAGAAGCAGTTAAGGCCTTCCTTTCAAATATGGATCGCAAGATGATTCAGAATTTTACAATTCAAACGCGATACAAAAATGAACTTTCATGTTCTTCCGCTCTGATTACCAAAATTTTATAACACGATTAACTTAAAAGTTATTTTAAAACTCGAAAACTCGAACTATACCTATCATGTCCCTTCTTCCCGGACATATCCATTGAAAATATTTTTGCATTTTAATTGTAAACAACGACCATTGTAAATATGAAAAAAACAACTTTTTTTTTCTTTTTGATGTGTTGAGGTTAACTGGACTAAAACAATAAGAATGGCTTATAGGTTTGCTTAAAAAACTCCCCAAAATAGTTGAAGGAAAAAAATTCCCTTTTTGCAATTTTGAAAAAGTGAACTGTCATCCGAATAGTCTTGCTGCCCATTAGAACAAATATTCTTATATCTAAGGGACCAATAGTAGCAGCTGTTAGTTTTGACTAACAATACCCATAAAAATATTTCTGTCTCCTTTTTATCCTTTTAGAGAGCATAAAAGCATAACCTGAAACTCGTACCTGAGGAAGGAGAAGAAGGTAGGGAAGCGAGCGCAGCCTAGTGGATGTGCGCCCAATCAATCTTCTCGAGCTAACCACTCGCCATAACTGCAACCCACGTAAATTCTACCGCATCCCCGAATACTGAGCTAGTAGGCGCGATCCTTACCTACTCGGCTACTCGTGTGGGAAATGTTCCGATTCGGATGTAGTTTACATCTAAATGCGTTGCAGATAAGTAGATGAATAACTTCTTAAATATGTTACTAGAAACCAAAACGTATGATGGTTAAAATTAGGACCATAGGCTTAGGTTAGGATTATAACCAATAAACGGCTTAAAAAATACTCCTCAAGGAAACTTATTTCTTAAGCGCTTATATAAGTAAAGATAAATTAAATTATTGAAATTGATAAGAAGTGAAAAATACGAACACATATGTACAAAAGACTTAATATTTGTCAATAAATTTAAAATATAAAATAGGCATAAGTGTCATACATTTCATTGAAGGATAAAAATATCGATGTTTACGATGTAACGTAATTGCAAAAATTGCTTTCTCTAAACTTACGAGAATCTTTAAAGCGAACAGCTGATCAGTGTAATCAACTAGCAACTAAATATTTTTTTCATAATCCAAATAAGCGTATTTATAAAAAAATTAAAATAAGTAAAAAGAAACGATTGAAAAACTGAAAGAAATTTATTAAAAAAAAATATTAGAATATAAGATACACATAACAGGGTGTCATATGTTATTACAAGCAAATGACAATTATTTGTTTAATATATGCATTATTATGCAATAAAAATAGCGGTGCTTTGCTAAAAAGCAATAACTATAGCATTTAACTAATATTGTGATACTTACTTGTTTTTTAAAAAAAAAAAAAAAAGTGAGTATGAAATATGTTCCGTATTTGTAACGTCTCTCAAATTGTTGTTGACTTTTGTTTATCTTCAATAAAATTATACACTCACAAGTAGATGTTCAAGATTGTTATTACTGCGGAAAGCTTATTAACCAGAAAAACGAATCATTTATATGCAGCTTATAAAGTAATATCTGATCAGCAGTTAATAAAACGCTTTCTTAGTAACGTCAGCAGTATGGAAAAATTTGATTTACCTAAGCGTTTGCAAGGCAGTGCACCAAGCGTTTGGTAAAATTGTTTAAAATATATCTTGATAATTATAATTAAATTATTATTTTCTATCAAAAGGAATGAATACATTGCTTTAGCTATGCAATATAAACCTTTGAATTTAGGACAAGGTTTTCCGGATGATGCTGCCCCTGAATATGTCACCAATGCCTTAGCAGATATGGCCAAAGATGAAAATCCCTTATTACATCAATATACCAGAGGTTTTGTATGTTTTCCAAATACGTCTGCAATTTCATTAGTATACCTATACATTTAATATAAAATCTAGGGTCACTTGCGGTTAGTTCAATCGATTAGCAAATTATACAGCAATTTATTGCATCGAGAACTGAATCCTTTGACAGACATCTTGATTACATCCGGCGCTTATGAGGCTTTGTACTCTTCGATAATGGGCCATGTCGATGTAGACGATGAAGTTATTATTATAGAACCATTCTTTGATTGCTATGAACCAATGGTTAAAATGGCAGGCGGCAGACCCCGTTTTATACCTTTAAAACCGGTAAAAAAATCGACAAATGCGCGTTTCAATAATTATTATTAAACGCTATTTCAGACAAAAACTGATGGCATTATTAGCTCTGCTGATTGGGTTTTAGATGAGGAAGAATTGAGAAAATTGTTTAATAAAAAAACTAAAATGATTATTTTGAATACTCCTCATAATCCCATTGGAAAAGTATTTAAACGCAATGAATTGGAAATTCTGGCAAATTTATGCAAACAATGGAACGTGTTGTGCTTATCAGATGAAGTATATGAGTGGATGGTTTACGACGGTAATGAACATATACGCATATGTACGTTGCCAGGAATGTGGGAACGTACAATAACCATAGGTTCGGCGGGTAAAACATTTTCAGTGACCGGTTGGAAAATTGGTTGGGCCTACGGCCCCTCTAATTTAATAAGAAATCTTCAAATGATTCATCAGAATTCCGTCTATACATGTCCTACACCTTTGCAAGAAGCTGTGGCTCGAAGTTTTGAATTGGAATTGAATCGACTCAACAGTCCCGAATGCTATTTTCACAGTTTACCTGTTGAACTGCGGGAAAAACGCGATTTTATGGCCAGATTTTTAAAAGAATCCGGAATGAAACCTACAATTCCCGAGGGCGGTTACTTTATGTTAGCTGATTGGACGAATTTAGGTAAACTCTTCTTTCACAAAAGTGTTCAAATACCACTTGCGACAGCTGCATTGGCTTAAGCACTTAATTAAACCAAATACTTTTTCCATTATTTGCAGAAAAAAAAATTGATATGAACAGCGAGTCAGACAAATATCGTGATTACAGATTTACTAAGTGGATGACAAAGAATATGGGATTACAAGGCATACCACCGAGCGCATTTTATAGTGAATCTCATAAAAAATTGGGGGAAGATTTTGTTCGCTATTGTTTCATAAAAAAACAAGAAAATTTGGAAAAAGCCGCGCAACTGCTAAAGAAATGGAAAAATTAAAAATAAAAAGAAAATGATCAATTTAACCTCACTTTTCCCTTATTGATAGAAAAGTAAACAAGAAACAAGAACAACTATTACATAATACCCAGCAATGCTGAGCTTTAGATTTATTATCAGAAATAAATCGTTAAAGCTTTTACTAACGTTCTTAAACAATTTTCCAAATTAATCGCGAGACTATACCAGTCTCTACTTTTTTTTTTTTTTAAATACATCTGTTGTTGCTGTTGTTGTTTTTGTCACTATTGTTGTTTACATGTCATATACAGATTTGAGAGCGAGTTCTGGTTTATCATAGTTTAATTCTTCAAGTGTTGGAATCCCCAATTCGGCTAAAGTCGGGCGCACAGAGTCCATAATATACGGATAGATTTCATCTGTTTTATCACCGCATTTGTCTTTAACTCCTTCTAGCCACCTAATGGCCAAAGCAATATCATTAACTCGCCGACAAGCTTTTAAACCTGCTTCCACAATTTTAGGTGCGGGCACCAAATCCATTCCCAACAAATCATTCATTCCCTTACGTACTTCCCAACCATCGATATCAGAGCGATTGAAATAGTCTTCATAACGTTTATCGAATTCCTCAGCTGGAATATCATGACCGTGCAAAGCACGTACAGCACTTACACGGCTAGCACTGCTCACAGAGCTACGCATTACATTAGCAATTTGATTTGCGGCTAAACGGAACATCCTGAGGCGAGATAAAATATAATTTATTAAAAACTAAATCGCTTTTACACAAGAATTGGTTAAGTAATCGGCTAGCAACCTGATGAAAATTCTTCTTCGTCTTCGTATGAGTTCAAGAAAAATTCATCCAAATACACAAACACTCAAAACAAGATGACAAATTTTAGGGCTGCCAATGTTTACTATCAGCGAATTCCTTTTAATTGTGCGAAGAGATTTTTTTAATAATATGTCAAAGTAAAGTAAATAGTTATTACTTTAAACCAATATAGCCTACATAAAAAAAACATTCTATAACTAGAATTCCAATTTGCACATTATCCGACTCCATTTTCTCAAGATCACTGCGTGCTAAGTGTGTTATGATTCACATGACCGTTCGTCTCATTCAAAATATTAACAGTCACAGTACAATACAAATGCAGCCAAATTGTTAAAAAGTACAATCTAATAAAAACGCAATTAAAATGTAGGAAAGGCGATCAAAATGCTAGAAAGCACCGTTCAATAAAAACCCAGTCAAAATTGCATATAATAGGAACTATATTTTGTCTTAACGCTTAACAGAAAATACCTTAACACGTGATTTAATGCATTTACAAAATCATATCGCTTACCTGCCTGTGTAACGATATGAAAACCACATTATACTTATCGTTTACTTTTTGAATTTGAAAACACGGCAACCCTTGCAGCGAATGTCATCATAAACAGTAAAACCGTACAAGGGAGAGGCTATAAAACGAAGTATTTTTTCTTTTCATTAGAAAAACGGGTGCAAATCACACTACTGATTCTTAAAAAGAAAAAAAAAAGAAGAGCGAGGAAAAAGCGTAAAGTGTATTTCTAAACGCAATTAATTTTAAATAATAATAACAAAAGTAACGTTCTTGTTTTACTTTCCTTTTAATATAAAATTAAATTAAATAAACTAAAAAAAAAGCTAGAAAATGGCTCCAATCGCTGGGTATGTATAACACAATGTCCGCATGTAATTAATTTAAAGGATAGAAAAATGCATTGTAATGATTGTTGAAAATGAAAAAAAAGCCAAATGAATACAAATAATTGTAATAAAATTAAGGCATTAACAGTTTTACTTATACGATCAGAAGTTAATCTTCATAAGCCTTATAAAATGTGCTTTCTGACTTCATCGTAAAACTGTTGGTTTATTCGATTAAAAGTTTGAGTGTTTTGCACATTTTCCTTTAGAAGCGTTGTGTTAATAGCTCGCGTGCTTTCCGGCGTCCATTTTTGTTTTATTTAACGTCTGCTCTGTATGATAAGGCAAATACTAATTTATGCTCGGGTTTTTTAACCTTTCATATTAATGGACTTTGTTGATTATTTCATGATATTTTTAAAAGAATATCTACATTTCCTTTTTTTTTTTATAATTAATTGACATTGAGGTTATGTTGAAGAATTATTGGCATTTTCTCGAATGTTTGTTTGTAATACGTTAATGATTTTTTGTTATGCCGCCGCCAGTTCAGTTTTGTTCATATAAAAGCAAAGCAAGAAAAAGTATTGCCAGGTAGTAATTATTTATGATTAAGTAAAACGTGCAAGTTTACAAGTCTACATACAATGCTTTTTTGTTTTAAAGCTCAGTTGAACAGTTTTTCTACAAATTCTAATTTGTATAAAGAAAAATAAATCCAAAGAGGTAATTCTGTCATTTACCTTCCATTCGTTACGATAGGTTGGCTTAAACCTTTTTTCGCAACTGTCTTATCCAGACCCTAAAAAGAATTAGTTATGATTAATAACCATTTCAGAGGTTCAAAAATTTGTAGTAGTAGCAAGTGTAAGCCAGCTATACAACGACCTCATTTCTTCCGAGATTTTGTGTTCTCAAATTTAAGTAATTTGAGAAATTATAAATAGAAGGAAATGCCGCCACGATGGCTTGTATAAATTGATAGAATTATTGCTGAACTTAATAATTATCTGTAAGCGTAAATTAATTAGGTAATATCAAACAGCTTTGTTTCAAAGATTACATTTGAGTAACTCCGTATTCCTTAAGGGACCCTTAATATAACTTAACTACAATGGACTTTTAGAATGTGAGAAGGTTTAAATTTTCTTTTTTTTTTTAATTTTGACGATTCGTAATACATCGCGTACTCAGAAAATTGTCATTATGTTACGTCTATAATTCCTTATAGGACACTAAAGCATAAACGTCGAAACGAAAGAGACGGAGATCTTTACATTTCGCTTATATTTGTTTCCTTCTTTTTTGCTCTAATAGTTTTATGCGACTAAAGATCGGAGTAGCGCGAATATTTATAAAGACGCTCTAAAGCATAAACGTTCTAAGTCGACTTCACTTACATGAAAACAACGAAAGAGACAGATGTCTTTTCATTTCGTTTATATTTGTTTTCCTCCTTTTTGCTTTAAAAAGTTTATGAGACTAAGGATCGATACAACGTGAATCTATTTCATCAAACTCAAAATTTTGTCCAGGAAAACTAATAATAAATGAAACAAGTAAGAATATTATAGTCGTGCAAGGCGGGCCCTTAAATATTCTACACCACATTACCTAACACATTTCTTGTTTTTATATAAAATTTCTATTATGGGTAACATTTTTCATCACCACATCTTTGACGTTTCTGCTCTACCCAGGGTCGATTTTCGTAAAAATTCGTATTAGCGTACGATCCAAAAAATTAGCCAATATAATATACACCGACATAATTTTCATCATGAAGCTGAGAAGTTGATGGAGTTGAGAATTATACCTTCTTGCCGTATGAACTTCAGTTTTCTTTATATGAGAAAGCGTTCAAAAATTGCCTCAGTCAGTCCAATGTTTCCATATCAATTTAGAATGCCGAAATACTGCTACTTAGCGACTTTTCAAAACAGCAATAGAGGGGTCGAAAAAATAAACCGATCTGCACCATTTTCAATAGAGTTCGTCCTTGGGTCAAAACACATCACTGTACCAAGTTTCATCGAAATACCTCAACAATTGCTACCTGTGGCCTGAACACAAATTGAGATGGACATATTTCAAAAGGACAGACAGGTTTAGATCAATTCAGATTATGAATCTGAATCAAACGGTGTAATAATTGGTGGATCTGGCTTAATCCCTTTTGTATAATATGTACGTCCGCACTAGGTTGACATACCCTGTACCACAGGTAGTGTAGGCGATAAAAGCATAGCTCCGGAATTAAGAGAGGAATTTGAGGTTAATCATTGAAATTCCTTTCCATTTCAAAATTTTTCACAGGATTTACTAATTTTTGAATGGTTTTTTTTAAACTTTCCTTTACAGCACAATACCACCTCCGGTATCATGGGCTCAAAGAAACGAGTTGTTATATGTTATTATTGATGTGGAATGTAAAGACATTGAACATAGGTAAGTAAATGAGTTCATTAATGTCGTTCGCAGCTAGTTGTAATTTTATTAAATATTTCTCTCTCCCGTTTTATATAAATTTTTATGATAGTGTCACAGAGAATAGCTTTCATTTTAAGGGTACCAATGTCTTGGAATCTGAAAAAAAATATGACGTTACACTGAACTTTTTGCATCCGGTTAATCCCGATAAAGTAACGAATAAAAATATCGGACGATGCCTAGAATTTACTATTTATAAGAAAGAGTCGGGTCCCTACTGGCCAGCATTAACCAATGACAAAACCAAATTGCATTTTCTTAAAGCAAACTTTTCAAAATGGAAGAATGAATCCGATGATGAAGATGGTAAGCCATTTTGATTGATTGATTCATTTAAAAGAAAACAACAAAAGTTCATTCGTTCCCTATTCTTTTTACTTACTTTCAGAAATGCCAAATGATGGTATGTTTATCAATGATATGCTTAAAGGTGAAGACATGGACAATAGATTCGATGATTTTAACGTAGATGATGATGATGATTCAGACGATAACATACCAAGTTTATCACAAAATGATGAAGATGAGGATGAGAAAAAGGATAAGGATTCTGATAAGAAAGAGAAATAGTTTAACTAATCCAACCACTTACACACACACACACACACACACACACACACACACACACAAAACGTAGAATGTTAGACAGTCAAACAGACCTAAAAAAAAAAGAAACAAAAAAACAGCAAAGCCCTTATTAATTAATAATTAATATACAGCATACACATTTTTCTTTCCCTTACATCTGCTTAAATGATAATAATAATAATAATAATTTAAATCTACCCTCGAAAGCAAATGCAGAAATTTTAACGTTCACTTAAAAAACGTAATTTAAAAAAAAATCTCCTGAGAGTGGTAAAAATAACTTTATTTACAATTGCGGAAAACGCAATTAATAAAATTAGTAACATTAAATTTACTTCAAACGAACTCCATAACAGTGACTATACACTGAAACATACACATACATACATACATACTTACACTACAAATTTAAAAACAAAAAAGATGAATATTTTACATGATTATAAAATGAAAAAAAAGAACAAGTATAAACAAGAATATATTTATACTTATTAAATAATTACATAAAAGGTTTGAATGTAGTTTTTCAATTAAACAAGAAAAATAGGAACACAAAGTAGTTTGTTTTTGTCTTTTTCTTTTCTTTAATTTCGCTTTTTTTAACCTTTGTGAAATGAATAATTTTTAATATATACATAAATACTTTATTTTAAACTTAATATTACACCTATACATACACACCTACATATACAGTTTAAGGTACTCGTAAAATAAAAAAAGAAAAGAGAAGGAAAAAATGTAAACATTGTTTTGTTTCCTGTAAATAAAGGAAAGTCTCATGCGATATAAAAATAAAATTTTTCACGTATTCATTTGCGAAATTTTGGTAAGAATTTTAAAGTGTTATGGTCTAATGCAATATAAACTGAAAAATGTGTGAAGTACAGCAGACAAATATTAAACTTCTATATAAATGTAAACGTATGTATGTATATGAGTGAATAAATTCATTTATTCATCTTTGATCTCTGTCGTTGTTTTCTATTGCAAGCAAAATTATTCAAAACTTTAAAGAAAAATATCCTCTGGGACACTTAACTCAAAGTAGTGAAACTGAATTTTATTATTCTCTTCACGCGGTACCTCAAAGGTGGTGCGGAAAACCGCTCCAGGAAGATTCGAATTAAAACCATATTTACATTATTAAACATTGACAGTTAAAGAGGAGGTTTTTCCTTTGCCAACCCAAAAGTAGTGCACTACTTGAAACTGAATGGCAATAGTTTAGAGAATATCGCGGCATTGCCATGGCTGGGCAACAACGTATTCATCACTGCGGACAAGCTTACGTTAGTAACGACTTACAACGGGGAACTGCCACGCCCAGAGATTTCACTCGTGATCCTTTGGCGATAACAGAACGTGGCAAAGTTGGTATACTATCATCACACAGCGAATGCAGTTCGAATAATTCTGTGGAAGCCTCGTTTGATAGCAATACGGATATATTAATTATTCCGGAAAAAAGGTAAGTAATGGGAAGAGCTGTAACTTTTTCTAAATCTGTTACATGAGAAATGCCGATTGTTGCAAAAATCAAAATTTATATTCTTGCAACGTACTATCGTTTGGTGACTTAATTTTTCAAGAAGGAAAATGAGGAATTTATTTTTGTTTGATTTTATTATTCAACTATTCAATTCAACATTTAATAGAATTTAGGATTATTAATGTTAACTTTTACTCTTTCGATATAACAATGATAATTCAATACCAATCGATGTTTTTATTATGATGCATTGGCAACTCTTTTCGTAAAAGTGCTGTCATATTTATTTTTATTATTGCTAAAGTTGAAATTCTCTCATATTTATATAAAGTTGTTTACATTTTGCGATGAACGGAATTTTTTTATTATTATTATTATGTTTTGTGCTGAAATCGGTTGAAAAAAATCGTAAAATCTTATCAGAAAATGATAAATTCAAATGAAATTTAAATTTGAATAAAACTTAAATCAATGAAAAATTAAAAATAATTATCAATTTTATTAATCTAATAAGGATGAAAAATTGGAATTATATCTGTATGTATGCGTATGTATTATATATGTAATATGTTATACTCGATTGAAGGGCTTCATAATGGATTTGCAAATTTTTATTTTTCATTCATAATTTGTTAGATACTCTTTATACTATTTATCAATGCATCGACGCAAAACGAATTTAGCCGTTACAACTATTACATTAACGAGAAATCAAATCCTTTAAAACAAGGTGCATGGATATCGTCAGCATTTTATCATTCTTGTTATTGTTTATTTTATCAACGATATGTATGTCAAGAGAGAAAAGATATGTTTAATTATTCGGTCTATTACGATAAAAATCGCAAAAATCGCTCCTGTTGGCCTTCATATAATGTTTATTAGCGAATTATGCCAAATACTTAAGGTCTTACAACAGCAATGTAAACAATGTAAACACTTAATGATGCTCATGAACTGCCAAAGTGAACAACGAAAAAAGCATAAACATCGAATACCAGGAGTTATGAAACCGATTATTTATTTAGTTTATCTATCTGTATTTATTAGTTTTCGCATAGGTGACGTTATCGCTTTACCTCCTATTATACAATTAGGAGCCATATTTACAGAAGATCAACGGTCTAGTAATATCGAATCGGCATTTAAGTATGCCGTTTATCGCATTAATAAGGATAAAAATATATTGCCTGATACTCAACTAGTCTATGATATTAAATATGCGCCACGCGATGATACGTTTCGTACGACAAAACAAGTTTGCCGTCAATTAGAGCATGGTGTACAGGTACTTTTCGGTCCCACCGATCCCCTCTTGGCCGGCCATATACAATCGATATGTGAAAGTTTCGATTTACCTCACATTGAGACACGCATCGATTTAGATACAACTATTAAAGAGTTCTCCATTAACTTGTATCCATCGCAATATCATCTCAATCTGGCTTACCGAGATTTAATGGTTTATCTTAACTGGACAAAGGTAGCAGTAATTTATGAAGAAGATTATGGTAAATTAATGAATTTGAAAAATATGATTTTTAAAATTTCTCCCCGTTTTTTTTTTTTTGTAGGACTTTTTAAGCAACAAGATTTAATGTACACTACTGCTGATTTACGTACAGAAATGTACATACGTCAGGCGTCTCCTGATACATATCGCCAAATTTTGCGTGCCATACGTCAGAAGGAAATCTATAAAATTATTGTTGATACAAATCCAATTAATATAAAATCATTTTTTCGTAGCGTAAGTTTCTCCTTTTTATACCCACCGCTGTGTAAGATCGGGGTATATCCATCTTGATCAATGCAATATTCTGAGTTATTTTAGCCATGTCTGTCCGTCTGTGTGTCTGTGCGGTGTGTGTTGTTGGCACTCTCCTGGTCACCGAAATGAAGATATCGATTTCAAATATGGCGGAAAACATTGGAATTTTCTGCACGCAGGTTGTTATTAAGAATGGGCCAAACCGGTCAAAGCGTAATCGCGTAGTAAACTAAACGCAAATCCGTTTTTTCAACAAAAATTAAAGTTAGAAGGCTGAAATTTTCCACATTTACTTTACAAAACACTACTCTTTAGGTCCGAAAATGAAATCAATCGGCTTTGCCTACATAAAGTTACTAAATTTTATTAATTTCAATTTTTTGAAGTGTTATGCTTATTTATCACAACGCAAACAAGACAGACTGTTTAAAACCATTTTGTGCACTCCAAAAATGGAGATATATTACCTGCCTAAAAATGGATTAGTTTTAAAATGATTATGGTAGACACGGCGATCGCTTTCTTTTTAATAACACTATCGATATGGGTATTAAATAAAAGAACTTGGAGAGTAGAATGCGAAAAGCATAGTGGTGGGTATGCGAGATTCGGCCTCCGGCGAATCTAATTTTCTTACTTCTTTTCATCATATATATTCAAAAATATATATGACTTTCCAGATTTTACAGCTTCAAATGAATGATTACCGTTACCACTATATGTTTACAACATTTGTACGTATCTTGAGTATTTATTCGATTGCTTAATGAACGATATTTAATTAATACCCATTTCGTTGTTAAAGGATTTAGAGACTTTCGATTTGGAAGATTTCAAATATAATAGCGTGAATATTACAGCATTCCGTTTAGTGGATGTGCAAAGTCAACTGTACACTGATATTGTTGAACAAATGCAAAAGTTCCCTCATAGCGGTCTCAATATAGTTGAAGGCCATCCGTATATACAGGTACGCAATCATTTACAACTGTTGCAATGCTTATCTAACATTAAATTTGTAAAACGCATAACAAAATTTCTAAAATATCTTAATGACTCTGTTGCATATTTATTAAAGTAAGGGAGACCATTGTAGTAGGCCATCGCCCATAATTAAATACTCTACAGGACATCGTTTAATACAGATACTCATAAAATGGCTTTTCAAAATAATTCTATATATGGGAGGTGATCGAAAAACTGATCCGATTTGAAACATTTTCAACAATGTTCGTCCTTGGTCCAAAAATTGTCCGTATGTCAAATTTTATCAAAATATCTCAAAAATTGCGGTTGATCCCTAGGTTGAAGACAAGAGCATCGGAACAACGCACATGACTGCATAATAGCTCCAGTCCTTCCAGGTGTCGTATACATCCGAGCAAACTTAATATGCCTTCGTATTACAAGTGGCGTAGTGTATAACGACGACGACATCTTCTTCACTTGCAAAGAAAGTTATTTGTTAGTTATAATGTATTTTCCCATCGCAGATAAGAATTGCTTTGTGCGTTTTACATTGCTCGCTGCAATGAAGGCTTCATCTCACTATGTTAAACTTTATCAAAATGCCACAAAAATTACGATCTCTAGATTGAAGAGAAGAATATCGGAGGGACAGATGGACCGACAGATATGACAGTATAAGAAAAGATGTGGTCATCTCCAATCCATCTGGGTGTTTTATACATCCGCGCGAACTTAACATGCCTTCGTATCACAAGTGGCGTAGGGTATAACGACGACGACATCTTTTTTATAAGCTTCCTTCTAAGGAAATGGGACAGATCCCACCCTTCAGAGGAATTTGATATGCTTGAAGTCACAGAATGAGGCCATGGGTATGGTTTACGTAACACCTAAATTTTAGGACAATCGATGGTCCAAGTTTCCTTCCAAAAGAGCGTTTCCACTTGTCAACATAGACAAAATTCAAGAAGATAAAAACGAAAATTCCTTTAACCCTTAATTACCGCAGTACCTTTCAATTACTTTGCAAAGTGGAGATCCACTCATTAGACGGCACAGGCTCATGTGTGCAACTTTCTTGTAGCGCGGATTACAAAACGCTACCAACGCTAGGCCCATAATATTCTGTTCATGGCGTGAGCTTGGATAGTGCTTTTTTATTGATAAAAAAGAAACCCTCTTCCGGGGCTTTGCTGATAACTACTAATTTTAATATATATATATTGAAATAAGACGAGTGACGTGTAGATATTGCCTTTAGTTTGGACAGTTACTGGGAAAGAATTGGCAAAGCTTATCGAAGATCGACGATTTGAAATATATTCGTTATACGATATATATGATACGATGTGTTATTAACAAATCGAATAAAGGGATCATTCTGTCATTTTGCAAACAGTTATCGTACATCGGATAAAAGATTTGGCCAAAATCGAGTAAAATACGATTAACTAAAGCTTTACGAATTTTGGTTAATAATCAATTGATTTTTTTTTTTTTTATTTTTCCAAGACTCAACCGGCATTGATGTTTGATGCTGTATACGCTTTTGCCGCTGGTCTTACCGCTTTCGATGGTAGTCATACCTTGAAAGTGACTAATTTGTCGTGCGAACTGGAAGAACCTTGGGATGACGGCCTTTCTTTATATAACTATATAAATACGGTAAGCTGATCTGAGGTGAATAATTTTGGAAAATTAAAAATGTTAAAAAGAAAACAATTTTATTTAAAGGCCACACTTAACGGTTTAACCGGTAAAATTGATTTTGTAGAGGGTCGTCGAAAAGCTTTTAAGGTCGATCTGCTTAAACTGAAACATGAACGCATACAAAAAGTAGGTTTTTGGACAGACTCGATAGGAGTCAACATCACCGATCCATCGGCCTTCTATGATACGAATGTCGCCAATATAACGTTAGTTGTTATGACAAGACAGGTAAATAAAAAGATCAGGTACGTGAACTAACTTCAATTAAGTTTGTTTCTCTTCGCCCAACGAAACTTAGGAAAAACCCTATGTCATGGTTAAAGAAGATACCAATTTAACGGGCAATGCTCGTTTTGAAGGTTTTTGCATAGATCTATTAAAATCCATTGCCACTCAGGTGGGCTTTCATTATAAAATTGAACTGGTACCGGATAATATGTATGGAGTTTTTAATCCCGAAACAAATACTTGGAATGGCATTGTCCGGGAACTTATGGAAAGGGTAAGATAAAAAATCATTTGTTTATCGATAACGCTTCTATTTAGTTGACTTTCGTTATTTTAGCGAGCGGATCTTGCTGTCGCCTCGATGACCATCAACTATGCCCGAGAAAGTGTAATTGACTTCACAAAGCCTTTCATGAATTTAGGTATTGGAATCTTATTCAAGGTCAGTTGAGATGTTTCCGTGAAGTATCGATACCTAATTGTATTGCTATTGCACTTACCTAAGATATAATGCCAGTTTGTAGTGTTGTGTTAATTAGATTTTGGTTCGTTTCGTATTTTTAAAAATGAATGTTATAAGTAACAGTTGAAAAAAAAAAAAAGAAGAAAATTGTATTCGGTCGTGACCGAATCTTTTATACCCATCCGTGTTGTTCTAAGAAAGACAACAAAGTAAAAGAACTAAATGTGCTCCATAATATGAAGTGGGCGTGGCTAATTTTTTCTATTTACATAATAAAAGGTTTGATCGTTACACAGACCGTTGCGCAGGCAATCAAATGTACAGACGTACACTTTTAAGTGTATTCCAAATTGGAAACTGGTCAAGAACTTATTTATGGGGTTTTTGTAGCTTGTTCCTGTGTATATAAAATTATTGAACAAAATAAATCAAATTTCTATATACTGTAATATTGAATAGGCATGGTCCGTTTTTCCTATTTTTGTACAACTATTACTGCATAGTCCGTAAGGTTCAGAAAAGAATTTACCCAGACGAACGGACGCGCAAACGGATATGCCTAAATCAACCGAGAATTTGATGTTAATCAAGACTGTATATATATATATATATGAATACCCACCCGTCATCTTTCGGCGATGGTTATAAAAAAAAAAAACTATTTGACTTAAGAATGAAAAAGAGTAATGACTACGATCTGTTACGCACCGATTCCAATTGGAAATAGTCTGAAATTATTGTGGCCCCTTTGACACGTTCAAAGAGTCATTGTCCAGTGCCAGTTATTTGCTTAAACATTGTTTTAGCATTCGCGCGTCTTCACAAAAAACAAAAAACTAAACTGTGTAAGCTCTTGATATCCTCGGCCACGTATGCGGACGGTTAGGGTTTTTTAGATTATAATATTAATATCATCAATAAACAGAAAAAAAAATTTGGTAATAATTGATTCTTTCAACAACGAATATGCAAATCTTATAACTTGATACAGAAAATAACAGAATCTACGGTATATGATTGGTCGGCATATAGAACAAAAAGAAATGTCGTCCCTGAAGAGGTTAATTCAATTGCTACATTTTTAACCCTAAAGACCAGATCATAACGTTTCTAAAAATTAGACTGAATCAAAGCAAAACAATTTTAGAGGCTTCGATAATGACAGATACTGAAGAGCAATAAGAGTAACTTTGAGTAAAATCAGTTTTTTTTTCGTTTTTTGTGTTTGCGTTAATGCCTAAGAATTTGATTTTAAGTTAGTTTAAGGTACGTTTGGGTTTAGTCCATTCAATAGCAGCATATCACTGTACTTATTGGTTGATTTATTTAGATTGCTTATCCGTATCTTTAGGTGCCTACCAGTCAACCCACACGTCTTTTCTCATTTATGAATCCATTGGCTATGGAAATATGGTTATATGTGCTCGCGGCTTATATTCTAGTCTCGTTCGCTTTATTTGTGATGGCTCGTTTTTCGCCTTATGAATGGAGTATCCCATATTCTTGTCAAAAAGATTCCGATATTGTAGAGAACCAGTTTTCTATATCAAATAGTTTTTGGTTTATAACTGGCACTTTCTTGCGACAAAGTTCGGGTCTTAATCCAAAGGTGAGTTGATAATACATTTTTATTTTACTCTAAAGCGTTTATAAGGTGGCGTTTATAAATGAAAAAAAAAAAAAAGAAAAGAAAAGAAAAAAATGATTCATATGGCATTGAGAGAATAATCACCCTTGCAACGACGATTGGCGTTTTCTCACATCGTCTTATCACCGTGACATCGTGGTATTAAGCCTTCGCGGCAAGTTTATATACTACGTCTCTCTAAGGTATTGAGGGAATAATCGCTATGGGAACGATAATTGGCTTTTTTGCATTCCTTGCGTCACTTGATATCATAGTGTTAAGCCTTCGAGGCAGGAAACTATATTACACACTGAAAAAAAGCGAACACTCGTTAACACTCTCAGTTAGATTTAGTTAAGCTTTCGAGGCAGGAAACCATATTACACACCTAAAAATAGCGGACACTCATTAACACTCTTACTTAAATTCAGTGAAGCTTGAGAACGGCCGTAATTATTCACTGGGGAATGCAGCCTTGTTAATGGATTTACCCAAAGTTTCGTTTCAGTGATTTCGTCAAATGATTTCACTTGAAAACACCAAGACTTATATTGCACTCAAATCCTTAAATGATTAAGTTCGTCTTCATTTACATATATGTATACATGTATATATTTATATATATGATAAAGGTTAAGAAATTTTAAAAAATGCGGAAAAATATTTAATAAGCTTTTCCTATTGACTTCGGTTAGTCGAAAAAAAAGACACATTGGGGCAAGGTCGATCACGGTTCTACTGTTACTACTTAACCACGTTTGCCCAGAAATTTTGAAAATTGTCTCCTTTTTGCATATAACGACTTTTCAGAATAAACGTGTAGAAAAAAGTGGATCGATCTGAATCATTTCCAATAGCCTTTGTTTGTGAGTCAAAACACGTAATTGTATTAAATTTCGACCTGTAGCTTGAACACAAAATACTTGGACAGAAGGCTTAGATCAATTCAGATTACGATTCTGAATCGATTGGTATAATAAAAGGGGCATCTATCTGAAGCCCTTTTGCGCGTTACATACGTTCACAGTAACTTATAATACCCTGTACCCTAAGTGGTGTGGCGTATAAAAATTAAAGTTCGAGGAGAAACGAAAATAGAGCCAACGACGAGGCATCAATTTTGTTACAGAGCAATAAACACACGCTTTTCCTGATTTTCCGCAAACGCTACAGCGTCTGTAGATCCATTCGTATTTTTATAAGGATGACATTTTGCTTTGTATTTCGTAGAGATCCCCGTTAATTTGCTTCAACTTATATCAATTTACGTAAGATGTACGCCTATATTTTTGAATGTGATTGGAAAAAATGTACTTGATTTTTAGAGATCAGATCGCGCGCAAACTCGTTTCTTTTCTTTTATGAATCCCTTGGCTGTGGAAATTTGGATTTATATTGCTTTCGCTTATGTATTGGTATCGCTGACCATTTGGATTGTAGCTCGATTATCGCCTATTGAATGGGTGCCGGAGAATTCTGACGTTTGCGATCACGAAGATTACGGTGACGGTACGTCACCCGAAGAACTAATCGAGTTACAAGAACGTCCTAAACGAGGTCCACAAATCAATTCAAATCAAGTTAATTCAGAAAATCTAAATTCTAATCAGGATGAGAAGAACGATGATGAGAAAGATGATGATAAAAATCCAAAGCAATCGACGCAATTAAATGATGGTCATGCTACTTGGTTTTCTCGAAAACCTTTCCGTCATGTTACCGAAGAGGTTGTTGAACAACAACAACAACAACAACAACATCATCATCATCATTCCGATTCTGAATGCGGAGAAACGGAACTTGAGTCTATTAAAAATGATTTCACTTTAAAGAACAGCTTTTGGTTTGCCATAGGCGCTCTCATGCAACAAGGTTCCGACTTATATCCACGGGTAGGCAAAAAACTTCTTAATACCGGGAAATGCTTTTACAATTTCAAAAAAAAAATAAAAATAATAATTATAGAAAGAAAGACAAGCTTCTTTTTAATGATCTTATGATGAGAAATTGTTCCCCTTGTAGGCTACTTCTACACGCATTGTTGGCGGTATCTGGTGGTTCTTTACCTTAATTATTATTTCGTCGTATACGGCTAATTTGGCAGCGTTTTTAACCGTCGAACGTATGATAACACCGATCGAGAGTGCTTCCGATTTAGCGGAACAAACGGATATCTCGTATGGAACATTGGAAGGCGGCTCAACTATGACTTTCTTTAGAGTGAGTTTTATTTCAATTTTTTGCGAGCAAATTTTCATCTTCTTATGCTTCCAGGACTCGAAAATTGGAATATACCAGAAGATGTGGCGTTATATGGAAAATCGAAAATCTGCGGTATTCGTTAGGACGTACGAAGAAGGTATCAAACGAGTCATGGAAGGCGATTATGCCTTCCTAATGGAATCCACTATGCTGGATTATGCAGTGCAAAGGGACTGCAATCTAACGCAGATTGGTGGCCTTTTAGATTCAAAAGGTTATGGCATTGCCACACCTAAAGGTTCACCCTGGCGCGATCCCATGTCTTTGGCAATATTAGAGTTGCAAGAGAAAGGTATCATACAAATGTTATATGATAAGTGGTGGAAAAATACGGGCGACGTTTGCAATCGTGACGATAAGAGCAAGGAGTCTAAGGCAAATGCTTTAGGTGTAGAAAATATCGGTAAGGGAAATGTGATGATAGATGATAGATGAGATTTTTTTGGCATTAAATTGATATCGTTTCGATTAGGTGGAGTCTTTGTGGTCCTATTATGCGGCTTGGCATTGGCAGTCGTCGTAGCCATATTAGAATTTTGTTATAATTCGAAAAAAACCGTGCAAACGGAAAATCAATCTTTATGCTCCGAAATGGCCGAAGAGTTACGTTTTGCAATGCATTGCCATACGTCAAAGCAACGACCCTCCATGAAACACAATTGTGCGAAATGCATGCCAGCCAGTACTTACGTACCGCAAGGTCCAACTACATCCGCCTCGGTCACCAGTGGATTGGCTGGTATACCGCATCATCTTAGTGGAGTCCAGTATAATTATTTAAATTAATTTTTTAACTAGTCAATGAACACATATATATATATATATATACATATATATATATACATATATATATAAAAAAATTAAAAGGAACTTCCAGGGATATCATCTAAAGATATTAAAAGATGCTGAAATTTTACATATTTTTGTTTGAAATATGAAAAATTATAGAGAAATTTATAAAGTGATAAAGTACACGAGAAAAGATTTAAAAAGTAATAGTTATTTAATACGAAAGAAAAAAGATAATAAAAAAAAATACATTAATTTTTATTTTTCTGTGTGTATTAAATAAAGAGAAAAATAAAAAAAAAAAATGTTTAATAATCAATCTTAACTTTGTAGTGGATAATACGAGCTACAAATGAAGCGAGGGAAAATACAAATTCAGTTAACGGCGCTTTCGTTCTTGAAGTAGCTTTATATCGTTGAGACATGCGTGAACTGACTACGATCAGTAATAATGCATTCCAACATTAAAGCAGACATATTCGTGTAGGTTACTTTTTTCCTCATGAGATTATTAGTAAGTATTTCTTGGTTCTTAGAGCATTTTTGTTAACAGGACTTGGCTCTGTTAATTATGATTAATAAACAAAGCCATTGAGTAGCATGAATGCTTTTGCCAATCGAAAAAGAAACAAAGAAGTTCCATTCGGCGGGTTACGAATCCCTCTATGCCCACCAATACCAATACCAATACAAATGCCAATACCCACCAATGACCACATTTTCTGCCCACAGTTACAGCGGTCACATTTGCTTCGTCCACTTTTAATAACTCATCATTTGGTAAACCTTTGAAAAACTGCAGCAATTGCAACTCTGAAACCACTGTCATGAAAGGGATCACATGTAGTATGAAAATGTATTATGTACATATCTAATATATAGTTTATATATGAAGTTGTTTTGTCCTTACTTCATTCCTTTGGAACCTGATCTCTGCTAAAGACTCGCGCCGAAATTCAAAAACCTGAAGACTGAAAAGCTTTTCGTTTCATATTGTCTTATTGTATGACGATAAAAAATTTCATCGAAATCTCTATCATCACAGTGACCGACTTCTAAGATACTCAGACGGAAATTCATGACAATTGCGGCACAATAATCTGGCAGTATGAAAGGAGCAGTATGCTGTTGATAACCGATAGCATCAAGTACTTTTCTCGCACCACATAAACGCTTTCTCCACTTACGATCTTAATGCCCAAGATATCGGTTTTTTCTAAACGTCCCAAGACTTTATGTATTAAACATCCACCAGAATTAGGATGTACAGTTAACGATGTACAGTTAAAAAAGTGGGCGTGATAGATTTATGTGCAAGCCCAAGCAAGCAATATGGAAGAAACTGAAAGAATCTTGGAAAAAAGTCTGTAGTTTTTCATACTTTCTTCTATAACTTTCAATCGCGTGAAAACGTTTACAAAAACCTATAAGTCAGGATGAACTTCGTGGTCAGTCTAAAAATGATCGATTCACAATATGAGGTTGAAAATTACACAACCCTGGAAAAAGGCCGATGTTCTTTTTCAGATCTTTATCCATAACTTTCACTACCATGAAGATATCTTTGGAAATCTGCGACTAAATCAATCCGAAATTCCAATTAATTCGTGATAAGGCAGATCACAAGTTAAATTCCTCTTTATTCAATTTTTGTATAAAATATCAAAGTACTTTTTCGCATATTTCATTTTTTGTATGTATGTAAATTTAATCATTACATTTTAATGCTGGCAATGCTACGTTTTCATTTATGTTATTATGTTATTGTCATAGAAACGACGTTTGCTTTTCATTTATTTTGATTTGTTTTGCCGGGTCGGATTAAAACTAGTTTTATTTTTAATTATTTCCTGAATTTTGCATTTCTTTCGAAAAATATAAAGCAAATAAAACGCAGCTTAATATGGCCAATCGTTATGCGAGACGTTTATCTTTTATAGCTGAATGGTATCAAGAGGAAGCCGCAATTATCAGAACCTTCACTATATGTTATTACGTTGCCGATAATGCATTGGAAGTGGTAAATGTGTCTCGCATTATTACATTTTCAATAATAATTAATTAAATTTCATTCTGATTGACAGTTCGATCAACGCACTAAGAAAACCTTTTTAAGACGTACAAAAATGCCCGAATTATCGGAACGTGATTTCTTTGTTGGCTCGAAAATTAATATATTTGGCCGTCAGTTTGATATAGTGGATTACGGCGATGAAATAACTAAAAATACTTTAGCTAAATTTCGTAAAAAGTATGTTGTACATTGATTTTATCTTAATCATAGAGAGACTATCAGCGCCACAAACATCAAAACCCTATTAAACATTATTAAACATTCTTAAACATTATTAAACTTAAACACTTCTAAACGCTTCAAAAGAGTAGTTTGTTTTTTTTTGCATGCTGAGTTCGGAGGATCTAAATTAATAAGACTTATTTATGCTTTATACGTACAAAACATTTACTACAATTGTTATTGTTTTCGCAATGTTTTTTAAGCTTCCATTTACGCGTCTCTTTATGGTTTGTTTTTTTTTGCCTTACAATGGTTTGTGTTATCATTATTTGCAGGACATTTATTTTATTAAAGAATAGCATTTTGCCGCACTTGGGCACAGTTCTTCGCGCTTTGATTGAAAGTAATTTCAGCATTAGTAAAGCTAGAATGGTTCAATTCACGGCCGAGCAAGTCAAAGATTTCTTAGCAGAGAAGAGCAAAGGCGACGTTCAAACTTCGTAAATAGTTAACTTTTCACAAAAAGAAAAAAAAAATAATGAAAAAATTAATTTTCAAATATGTATTTAGTGTGCTGATGAATCAATTATTATCAGGACCTTCTATAGGCTTTGAATTAATTGCGGATAATGCTGTAGAAAAAATCAAATATTGCCAAGGTCAATCTAAAGAGTGCATGAATGAAGATATGCCATCAGCTCTAAGAGGTTTATTCGAACGTGAAGATGTACGTAATGGCATTTATTGTTCGCAAACCGATGAGGATGCATTAAGGGTAAGTCATATATATATATATATATATATAAAATAGTATTTATCAGTTTTAATTTCAAAATCAATAGTTTTTGGACAATGTTTTGTATATTGCACATGCAATGATCAAGAAAAAAAATGTAAATGCCACACGCTTTGAATGCTTGCACGTGAATAAGAAACACTTTTTGTTTTCCGTAATGATGATACGTCTTGGTAGGCTTACAAAGCACAAGCATTTTGTTTGTAATCTTTAACAAGTAAGAAAATTATATTCTGTTGTGACCTAATCTTTTATGGGGTGTTGTTTTTTTTTATTTTCAAAATAAGTTTGCGGACGTTGTAGACGTGACCCTTGAAAAAGTTTAGATCACTTCTATTATAGGCTTATTTTTGCGAATGTTTAAATGCTTAACAGGTACTAAGGATTGGGACAGACGGACAGACCGAAATTTTTGGGGGCATTCCAAGATTGGATGTTGAAGCTTGCTTGTGCCCTTGCAAAAAAAATTACATTTTGTTACACTATAACATTAAGTAGACATGGTCAGTTTTTCACATAGAATGTTTGTTCAAATTTTTGTAGATTTATCAGAGTTGTTCTCACTTCAGAAAATGACTCTGAAGCGTACGGTATAATAAAAGCTAAGTCTGTTTTAAGAATGTGTGGGTATTATACACAATCCTGCAAATTTAATATACGTAAATAGTGTAGCGAATAAAAATTTTCATACAATTTTCGTTTCGTTTACCTAAAGGTTTCTCCGCAACAATGTTGACTCAATTTGATAACCAAGCTCACATAACTTATTGGCATGTGTGTGGAAGTCGCAATTGGTCTTTTGTAAAGAGTCGGGTTTTAGATGCAAGTTAATATAAACTTATTTCCCATACAGAAATTTAAGCTCAAGATTTTCAGCTTAGGTTAACTGGCTTGAAACTGCTTTCGAGAGCAGCAAAGAACTTTCTCTGACGTTATGCTATGTGCATGTGTTGTCTCCTATAGTAGATCTCCTCCTTTAGATTCTTCCACAATAATTGATATTCTATATTTCCCTAATTGCAACTAAATATCTAAAAAGTGATAGTCTCTAGTATTTTTTTTTAACTAACTCTAGGATTGCAATTTCTTTTTCGATGGCAAGAGTAGTCTACAAATAACGGTTAAATTGAAAAATAGTACTTTGGCTGTTATTAAACCTCATGCCATAAAGGAAGGTAATCTTGGTAAAATTATATCGGAAATTACTTCAAATGGCTTTAAGATAACTGCTTTGCGTATTCATTTACTGGAACGAGTTAATTGTGAAGAATTTTATGAAGTATACCGTGGCATTGTACCCGAATATATCGTAAGGAAGTGTGGAATTTTTGTTATATAACTTTCATTTACACTCGTCATCTTCAGCCTATGGTCGCTCAGTTAGCCAGCGGTGTTTGCATGGCTTTGGAGATTATGTGTGCGGATCCGAATAAAAATAGCTATGAAGAGTTTCGTAATTTTTGCGGGCCCACCGATCCGGTAAGTGAACCCGTTTTTTCCTTTATTTTTTTTTTCTTGAATAAATCTCTTTTATTTTCCTTTATTTTCGAAGGAAATTGCTAAACTCTTAAGACCACATACCTTAAGGGCTAAATATGGTTCTAGTAAAACCTTAAATGCTGTGCATTGCACAGATTTGCCGGATGATACCGTATTGGAGTTGCAATATTTATTCAAAATTTTAGATTAATTAAATTGTTTTATATATTTATCTTTTCTTTTTTCTATTTAACACTCTACATTTTTTATAAATAAATTAGATTTTTTTTTGTTTTTTACATTAAAATTTAAAAAAAAAAATTGTTTTTTTTGAATAAAACTTTTTAAAATATTTCTCCTTTATTACTTTTACTCGTACTGGGTAATTCATCTTTAAAAGTGTCTTGTAGAGGTGTAGCTTCATTGGCTATTAACAGTAAATGATGGCCCAAACGTTCTTGTGAAACGTAATCATAAGCTAAAAATATGTAAACCATGAGACCTATGAACATGATTATGCCATAAAAGAAGAATTCGTCGCTTTGATTATTAAATGGAGCCAGTTCCTTGAATAAGACTACAATTAAATTGCCAAAAGCATTATTCAGAAACCAGGCGGCAGTGACTACAGATTTCATCGACGGCGGAGCCTGCAATGCAAGTAGAAATGAATATATGAATTATTAACTTGGAAAGTCTATATATATATATATATAGAGTGACTAACCTGTGTGAAAGCAAATTGCAAGCCCGGTATGGAAAGCAATAATTCACCCAACATTAGCAAAAGGAACTGAGGTATTTGCCAACATACATTCACTGACTTTGGAGGTTGCAACTGTTTACAAAAAAAAATTAAAAAAAAAAATATATATATAACAAACTTAAGTAATTTCCACTTGAATATCTTTCAATGACTTACTTACATAAATATATTTTTGCAGTAAGGCAGCACAGATAAAGGAAAGAGCTGAGAAGAATGCGCCTAGGGCTACGCTTTGTAAAGGCTTCATATCATAATTGCAAACCTTAAGCAGTATAGGTTTTACTATATATTGCATGAAAGGTATTAAAATGAATAAGAATACTGGACCGATAGCTTTAGCCTGATCTGGTTGCAATTTTATGCCTGAACTTAATGTAGTATTCATTAGAGAAGCCTGAAATGTCCAACTCGAATCTTGTTGAGCCAATAGAGCAAAATATAAAGGTAAAGGAAGAAATAATTTAGCCAACTAAGAGAGATAAAATTTATTTTGTAATTATTTGAAATGAAAAATTGCTTCAGAAAATCAAAAAAAAAAGAAAAAAAAAAAGAATCGCATATTTACCTTTAACACCTTGGCCACCTCATTAACAAAGCTATCATCGTATTTATCTAAAGCATAATGTAACCAATAATTGGGTCTTTTTGTTAACGATTTTTTACACCATTTCTTAGCTAATGCGTACTTTACACAGCCATAAAATTTTAATAAAATATTTTCTTCGGATAATTTTTCCGCTTTATAGAAAAATTTACCGAAAGTAAAAATTACTGAAAAGAAAAGAAATGAAAAAAAAAAAACAAATTTAATAGGAAGTCATCATCCCCGAGAGATCATATAGTATGTTACTTTTTTTCTTACTTACTCCAGCCTAAGAAAAATGACGAAGCCAATGTACCAAAAACTGCCGGATAACAATCGCTTTTATTGAAACATTGCACCTTGGCTCGGATCATTGGTGGCAGGATTTTACTTAAAAATATTCCCATGTAATAGACGAAATAGTACAGTGAGAAATATTCAGCTAACTGCTTAGCTTGCTCTGGTACTTGGAATTGTAAGGCTCCCAACGAAGCCACACATGCCCGAGTGGAACCGTTACCAACGGCTATAAAAAGTAAAGATGTAGAAACTAGGAAACTAAAAAGGTAACAAAAAATACTCATAAAGCGTAATTTAAGCTTAATTTGTTTGAAAAGAGAATACCGGGAGAGGAAAAAAAGAGAGGGAAAGAGGATTGAAATGAACCCTCTGTCTGAGTAACCGTGAAGTCTTATCACAGTCGAATACTTTTTAATACCTTTATAAAAGATAAATCGCTCTTCTAGGACTTTTCCTTAAGTAAAACGAATGAATCATCGGGCTCCGTTTTCGTAAAAGCAGTCCCATCAACGACTTGCCGAAATATTAATTTCATTTTCTTTTTTTTTTGTCGCTTTTATCTCGCTTATCGACAAAAATTAAAAGTGGTCGAAATGAAAAAAAAAATTTGAAAAATTTTTCAGCCATAAAAAAAGGAAAAAACTATATTCGGCCGCGTTAGAGTCTTTTTTTACCCGTCCTCGCTTAATACTGAATACTTTGTACGGTCTCGAAAATCGTTAGGTGAAGCAAACGTTTTCATTAAAGGAAGAAATTTTAATACTCTTTAGGAGTGAATAGGAGTGGTCGATTTTTCCCATTGTTATAGTGGCACTACAGGACCACCCATAGACTGTAGAAGCCAATTCTTGTCGTTGTATCAATGTTACAAGTTATGTGCAAAAATTTGCATTTTTTTTTTATTTTTGAAAACAGAGATAATCTAAGGTTATATTGTACCATAGTCGCGTCCTTTACTCGATTTCAATCAATCTTTGTGCCGAATTTAAAGCGGATTGCTTCATTTTTGCAACCAGGAGAATGTTGATCACAGACGGACGGACGGACGGATACGCTTACATCAGTTTCGAATTTGATGCTATTCAATAATATATATAGTTCGCGAGGTCTCCGAAGTTTTCTTCTATCTGCTGCGAAAGTTTCGAACCCCAGGTATAAAAAGGCTTTTAGTATGACTCAGAGAAAGAGAGAGAGGAGCAGGGAGAAGAAGATATGGGCTTAAATAATTTATTCAACTTACATTAACACTGATCCTAGATAAGGTAATGAGGTAATAATTAGTAACAGCCAACCAAAGCCGTACAGGAAATAGAAGCTTGTGATGCTGCGCACGTTGCCCATATAGCTATCGGCCAAAATAGCACCGAATATGGGACAAAATTGACCAAAAAAATTAAATATATGTAAAACAATTGTTGAAACGCTTTCACTTAAATTCAAATCGTCGCGTAGATATAAAGCTAAAATTGCTGCGAAATAAATGCAAATATTTGAATTGAAATTAATTGAAACATTTTTTTCATTTAACACTAATTTGACGGGAACCCGTCAATTTGACAGGTGAACTTTGTGTGTATTCTCAATCTCGCAAAAGTAATGATACGAAGTTGAAATTTGGCCCAGGAAATCCTTGAGCAATAAAGAATAGGACTTTAAAAAATAGTGTCGGTCTGTTCGAAGACACGCCCACAATGCAGAAAACCATGCAACATATTTTAAAGACACCGAAGCTTTTTCGCATTTTCGTCCAATCTCTTACAGATCGACTGCCTTGCTCGATTGAAGATATGAAGTTAAAGAATGGGCTCGATCGGTTCACAGACATGCCAATAATGCAGAAGAAACTAAAAGGACGTCTTAAATGTCGGTTTCCCTATAGTGAATTTTTAAAGAGAAATATCCATCAAGATGCATAGACGTTCCTTGATCGATGAAGAATACAAAGTTGAAAACTGGGCTCGATCATGGTTCATGGACACATCCATCATGTAGAAGAAACTAAAAAAACTTCGTCAGACACAGACATTTTCTTCATATTTTCGTGCCAGGTCTTAAATGTCTAGTTCTTTCTAGTGAATTTTTTAAAGGAAAAAATCCAACAAGCGGCACAAATATTCCTTGACCGATTAAGGATACAAGGTTGAAAAATGGGCTCGATTTCTTCAAAGACTCGCTAACAATGCAGAAAAAACTCAAACAACCTATCAAGACACCGAGAAGTTGTTCATATTTCAAAAAATATGTCAAATTGACGGGCGCCGTAAATCTAGTAATAAATTTCTTAAAATCGCTTACTTCTCATGCCATTCGCAGCGAATGCTTCCAATAGTTTAGTTAATAAAACGAAAATAATTGCGATGGGATACTTCGTTGGACGCGGTTGACGTGTTAAGTTGGTGACCAAGCCATATCCTTGAGGCTTCTTTGCGAAGAACTTTTGAAATCTTGATTTCGAGAGATTTTCATTGAAAGTTATCACACTTAGGGCAGGCAAAGCTAAGAGAAAAGTATTTTTCAAAATTAATTATTATTCAAATATTTCTCTCTCTCTTGCTTACTCTCTTCGCTGGCAATTTGTGAAGCACGAAACATGATCTTTTTTTTTTTTGCTTGTTTTCTTCTTTTGCTATATCTTTGGTTAATTAACAGTAATAACCTTTTTCGCACACCTTGATATTGTTGTAATTTTTCTGAGCCATGTATAGTTTTTGTTTTGTTTTGTTTGTTTGTTTTAACCACAATTATTAATCTTGAATTTCATGCTAGAATGTTTAACAAATTTTTAATTTTTCTTTTTTTTGGGGTTTTTTTGATTTTTATTTTCAAATTATTATTAATTTTCAATATGTAAAATAAATTGAAAAAATTCCAAGAGCGCAAACGTTTGAACACTAGCCCGAATCAGAGCTTAGTAAAAACTTAACTTCTATTCAATAATTTGCGATTTGCATTGTTCACGTTTTTGTTTACCGCGAGTCTACTGCCCCGAGCCTGTCTCTGTTGTTGCTTTGCTGTCATTAAATCTCGAGTCTAAGCTCACATGCACACTTCTGTATCTCTCTCTCTCTCTCTCTCTCTCTCTTTCTTATTCTGTGTTTGTGCATATTTCACGAGACCTTTATCGTGTCTATGTATGAACCTATTAGGCCTCGCATTTGTTTTTTTTTTTTTTTTCTTTATTTTTATTACTTCACTCTCGTTATTTCCCATCACTTTGCTTTGTATTTGTTATCTGTTATGGTTTTGTTTGTAACTTTTTTTTTTATTTATTTGTTTTTTTTCTATTTTTATTTATCTGTAAAAAAAAATAAAAATAAAAAAATTGTTATGGGAGTCTGGTTACATATCTTAGTAGGTGAGAGTAAAAAAAAAAAAAAAATAGAAACTCTTATCTCTTATCTCTTATCTCTAGATTGGTATTCAAACATATCTGAACGGTTGACTGATGCCAGCCGTATAAGTTGATTGTATGAAGTATTTTCTGTTTTGGATATAAAGCAAGTATAATATGCACTAATTTAATGAGATATGGCTTATATCTCTTTAAATCGGAACATTAAGTTCTTCACTAAATTTTGGGAAAAAGTAGAAATACGTTTTCAGACACCCTTTGGACCAAGAAATGGCGGATTTTTTTTTACTAGGAGCATTTCGGAATGAATCGGAACGTCTGAACATAAATTATGCATGGACTGAGCTGAAGAGATCTATCTTATATATCTATAGATCGGAATATTAAGTTCTTTAATAAATTATTGAAAAAAAATATAAATATGTTTTCGAAACGAAGTAAACATGCGTATGAAGTAAGTATGGACCGAGCCAATTAGGTATTGCTTTTATGTCCAGATTAGAGTATTAAGTTCTTTATAAAATTTTGGAAAATAGTAAGAATACGCCACGGACCGAACAATTGATTGCCCAAAGTGATTGAATTTTAGGTACGTAGCATATTATATTGAATAGACATATATATATATATAGTTTTGATGAAAAAGGCCCATCGCTCAACTTTTCGCTTGATCTATTATGTAAACAGAAGATAATATATATATAAATATATATGTATAGATCGATGCGTATATACATATAGACACCTGCACACCTGTGTAGAGTTTTCATTAAAGCCGACAGCCTTACTACTTACTGCTACTGCTTTAGTCTTGGAATTTATTTCTCCGATTAAATCAGTTATAATAATGAAGACAGTAACAATAAAATAAAAACTTCTAAATGAAAAGCTGAACTGAAGCGATTAATTTTCGGCAAGCTTCTTTTGAAGGCGATGTCATCGACGTTAAAAACTTTCAACGAGGTGGAGCGGATCGAATGATCGTTGGATAAGCTAAACTCCGAACTATAAGGTTGAGGCATCAAAACTTTCATGTCATTAAAAATAAAACCTAATGTTGGAAATGCTCGAAAGAGTGATCCGATCCAAACCATTTTCAATAGCCTTCATCTTTGTGCCAAAACCGGTCTTGAGTCCCTATATAATCAATTTCATCAAGGTATCTTGAAAATACAAGAAAGCAAGATCGACAGAGGAACAGATAAGCTTAAATCGATTCAGCTCTGGACATAGTAGGTCTATCTCAAGTCCCTCTGAGTGTTGTACACATCCAAAAAAATTTAATATACCGGTGTAGGGTATGAAAATTGTAAAAAACATTTACTTTTCAAAGCAGAGGATCTTTCATATATATAGTTCTGGGTATAAACATTAGATAGAATGATAAAAATATAAAAGCCGGTGGTCTTGGGTGGTAAAGCTCATCATACCTTTTGAGTCACAGAATTCTTTCTTCTTTGGTCCAAATAAATTTTAATAATAATAATAATAATAATAATAGATAGAGTGGATTAAACCAGTATACTTTCGTCTTTCTGTCCGTAAATGAAAAAACTTTTATTGCATTGTCTCCTTTGCTGATAAGCAATAATCGGTACAATTGCATCGCCCCCGCCTTATGTTAGCAACGATTTAATTTGTTCTTCATAACACTTGCCGTTTAAACAGTCTCTGTAAAATGGTTTTAACTGCCCGTTAAAAGTTATTGAACTTTTCGATATCGTTTACCTTACTTGGGTAACTAAAACTGTGGTTTATGATGATTAATCCTATGAAAGATTTATATAAACTACAGAACGTAAGCGTATCGAGACTACAAAGTTTCAACACCTGAAGTATGTTTGGTAAGAAAGAATTGTGAAAGAGAGAATTAATTGTAATCGATTACCTTATATTGTTAACTAACAACTCTTCTGCAATAATGGTTAGTAAGAGGATTATGTTTATAACAGTTTTCGGGTCTTGGGAATGCATGTTTCTTATCTTCCAGCCGCTTCATCTATGTTTTCCTGCTATTAACTTTGCTCCAGTAAAGGAGTATTCACTAAGAGTATCTGTAGCTGAGCTCTTTGTCTATTATCTCTTACAGAAATTGTTGGACCTCTGGCTCTAAAAGGTGTATATTTATACCCTAGATCACTTGTGGTACAAGATGTATTAAGTTTGTGCGCAAGTATGTAGTATCTAGAACGGCTTAAGGCATGTCCATCGTTATGCTAAGCTTATTTTTATTCAGCTTGTGGAGACGTAGACGGCCTTAAGATGGATCTATCCTTTATTATATCGTTACACTAAACATGTCTGTCCGTCCTAATTATTTTTACTAAGTTTGTGGGGACGTACGTTATACTTAGAAGGGCTTAAGGCAAATCCACCTTTTATTATATCGTTGCATTAAACATGCCTGTCCATCCTATTTATCTTTATTAGGTCTTTTGGGGGCGCGTATGTAATACCTAGAAGGACTTAAGGCATCTTTTCCTCTATCTTTTATTATATCGTTATACTATACATGTCTGTCCGTCTAATTATTTTTATTAAGTTTGTGCGGACGGATGTAGTACTAGAAGGGCTTAAGGCAAATCCACCTTTTATTATATCGGTATACTAAACGTATCTGCCCGTCCTACCTTAGTCCATGTATATACTTATATCATTTCAGCATTCTGAATTAATGTGAAAACTTTGCACCGGATAAAGCAATTTTATGAATCGCTTGCTTAGGAAAACTGAACTTTAATGTGATAAAAAGGCATCATTGAAGCAATAATTCCTGATGAAAATTCATCTATAACCATAGTTTGACGTAAAAATTAAGTGTTATATTAATTAACATAATATTGATATATTAAGGCCAGAGGTCTATTTTTTAACATTTTACGATAAAAATTAGTCTTTAGTAAATCATCTATAGGGATATTTAAATTACATAGTTATATTTTTAGAAAGCACTATATATAGAGATTCTTATAGCGATGAAGCCTAGTTTGAGGGAAGCAACCGGAGAATAGAATTTTTGACAAGTAAATTAAGTTTGCTAAATTAAGACCATTTTAAGTGTAAAGTGGCTTCCATAAATATGGTAATGTACGAATTTTGGTAGCTAATGGCCTGGTCAAACTATAACATTCTTAAGAAATTGATAAACAAGCTGTAAGAAGGAGACATTCTAATGTTATGAACTGGTCTTTTCATTTGGATCACAAGTAAACCAGTTGTGTGAAGTATACTCGAAGATAAAAATGAAGATCTGTCAAATATAACTACAGTGGAGTCTTCACTAAATTAACATAAATTAATTTTTATTTTAAAATTTCTTTTATTTAATTTACACAAAATTTTCTTTTCTGCGCTATAGGGTTTTCAAAATATCTTTCTCATAAAATTTAAGATGACATCTAATGAACAGGTAAATCGCTTATGACGTATATGGTAGATTCCGTGGCCCCTCTCCGGGGTTATATTCATATGTAAGAAAAAAAAAAAAAAACATTGACATTTCCGTTGTTTACACCAACTTTTTCGCCTCAAAGAAACTCTTCAAATGTCGCATTTGCCAAAAGCCCATACATACTAGTACGATAGTTTGAGCCAAAGACCACCAAAGTACTCGTGAATTAGTACTTTCACTGGTATGACGGAATCTCTCCTCCCGATAGCGTTGATAGTTTTGTTCTTTTGTTATTTGTTCGACTTGGTCAAGCAATTGGCGAATACGTAATTGTAACTCGGTAAGTTTTTCCTTTTGCGCCACACTGGCATAATCGATAGCATGTTCACCAACTTGTATATCTAAATGAACACGCAACTGGGCGCCACTAAACCATGCTGTACTATTCGAATACATGCAAATTACATGCTCGCCGGGGGTATGAGACGTAAAAGAAATACGTCCCTCCGAGCTGTAGACTCGCGATAATATTATTTTATCATCGCTGTCCCTAACTTGAACGTGCATGCCGATGCCCGGTGATGAGGGCATAAAACCATTTGAACGGGGATCATATAATTCCACTTTGTAATTAACTGTAATCACAAATACATAATGTTAATAAATTTCCGAAAATATCCTTATAAACCATACCAATAACTGTCGTCTCATCGGGCACTTCTTCGATAAAACATTTGCGCTTCGTCTCAGCTATGTGAAAATATAAGCCGAATGCTGTCTGCCAACTGGCCAAAACTAATAAGAATGACACAAGCTGTTTATGCATTTCTAAAAAAAAAAAGAGTAAATTTATTTGTATTTGTAAAATTTACAACAAAAATTTATTTTTGAATCTACTTTTGGCAGTCACGACACGTCATGAAAAAAGTTTACAATTTAAAAAGAAAAAATCTTTTTTTTGACAATTTACGAGAAACATTTACCTTAGACGTTAGAGAAGTTAACGAACAATTGCTTTTTATTAAATAACACCGAAGAGTGAGACTTTAGTCATATCGTAAATTAATTAAAAATGGTAACGTACACATAGAGGAGAAAAGCAGTAAAATTTATGTGTATTTATACCTCATTTCGATACGTTACTTTAAAATTATATATATATTATATTTTTGTTCACAATTTTGCACATAACATATATATTGCGCAGTATGAATTCTCGCCTCTATTGTAAAGTTACTAACTGTTGTAGCCTCTGCATTATGTTTACGATATAATTACAGGTGATTGACTAATGTCATACGTTACAGCAACTTTGGCAGCTTTACTAAAAACGTGTTAACGTTTTCGCTCCGTAGTTTACTTGGATGGTTGCAGCGGTCTTAATTGAATAAGTTGATTTAAGTAACAAATTCTGGAAAATGTGGCCCCGTTTTGGCATTAAAATTGGTAATAGCACTTTCTGCATTGCTCATGTGAAGCCGTCAGATACTTGGCCGAATGTTATAGCAAATAAACAAGGTGATAGAGTTTCTCAAGCGTGTTTGCTCTGGGATGGCGGCAACGAAATTGAATGCGGATTGACTGCTCAACAGAAAATGGCTACGCGTCCTAAACAAGCTGTCGCTAATTGTTTTCAGTTCTTAAAGTCATCGGAAGAGTTAACAGATGATTTCCTAAGTATTGCATGTAAAACTATACCCTGTAATTATGATAAGGTTAAACACACGTTCAAATTAAATGCAAACAAGTCGTCAAATAATGATGAGGACATAGAGACTGTTAAGGAAATGTCTCCCTTCGAAGTACTTGTAAAATTGTTTGAATGCGAATTAGAATTGGCAAAGCAGTATTGTAGTGATGCAAGTGAGACACCTGTTATAGTGTTATCGGTACCCAGTTATAGCTCGACACGGACCCGTAGCTTAGTAGTCGAGGCGGCTGAAAAAGCTGGATTTCAAGTGGCTCAAGCCGTTGAAGAACCTACAGCTGCTATATTGGCTTACGGTATTGGCGAAGAATCATGCAATGATGATGACACAAGGTACACATTAACAATTAAATGCGGTGGTCTCTTTAGTCACTTTGCTTTATATGAAGTCAGACGTGGACTCTACACTAAGTTGGATTGCTTTGGCCCATTTGCCATTGGCGGCGAGCAAATCACCGAAGAATTAGTAAAATTCATATGTGAAGACTTTCAACGTAAATATAAATTGGATCCGAATGAAAGTAGACGTTCCTTAGCTAAAATACGTACAGCGGCTGCAAACTGCAAACACATCTTAACCACTTTACCTTCTACTCAGTTATATATAGATTCTTTAATGGATGGTATAGATTTTAATGCACAAATGTCAAGAGCACGTTTTGAAAGCCTTATACAACCAGTTATTACCAATTTTATGCAAAACTTGGCGGATGCTGTACAGAAGATGCAACAAAATTTCCCGCAAGCAAAAAAAATTGATGCAGTCGTTTTATTAGGAGCAACCACCCAAGTACCGAAATTGCTATCAGCGATTTCTGCTAGATTTCCAGACGCTGAAATTCATAATTCACTAGCAGCCGATGAAATAGTGGCAGTTGGTTGTGCACGCCAAACATTGTTCCTACAAAATCCCGATAATCAAATACTCGAGGCATTCGAAGAATGCCTTTGTGTAGCAGAGGAAGTGGTCATATGGCATGGTAACTCAAAAGATGAAATTAATTCGCAAAAACTTCTCAATCCAGGCGATATTCTACCAAAAACAGTTATATTGAATATAAAACTGAAGGAATCGTGCTCGGACTCTGATGTATTTCAACTACGGGCTGGCACGCAAATAAAAGAGGTGAATATTGAAAAGGCTGCTTCCAGTATACCTGAAGAAGAATTTGTACGTTTAGAAGCTGAAATACCAAAGGTGATCAACAATTCGCCAGTGATACGTTTAAGATGTATTTGAAGTTTCTAGTTTTTAGTAAATGATAGTTCAAAAATTCTATAATTAAAAATAATTAAGAAAGATATATATTTGGCTTGAGATGATTTTTTGAAGACCCACCAAGAATTCGAGGAAACATACATATAACAAGTCCCTGTATTTTCCCGTCCAAATGTATATGTCATTACATTTTATTTAGAATAACTGCAGATAGATTATTACGCGATTTGATTTTCTCAATTGAACCTTATGGTCAGAAAGAAAGGGCGACAGTGAAAACAATTGGTCTCATCAATAAGTTAAGGTCTCATCAGCAAGTTAAAAATGATGACGTGCGAGTAGCCAAAGCCGAATTTTTTTAGAAGGTACGATAGAAACGAGCATTTAAATGGTTAGAAAGTTTTCTACTTTTTGTAACGACAGTTTATGAAGAGACCTGTGTTTTAACAGATCCTTTACTTATAGTGATATAATAAATATTAGCATTTACTAATGATGAGAGGAGCCTGCTGCGCTTCCTTTTTATACATCTCACCGGAAGAGAAGGATGAGTGTAAGCATTTTGTAGAACGTTTGCAACACCCAGGACGAAGCGTCAGGGATCCACAAAGTACATATTCTTGATCAACAACAAATTCTAAATCGATTTCAGTATGTCCGTCTGTTCGTCTGTGTAATGTCTGCTGTAAACGTTGATAGGGAAGGGTTCGTCTATCCCTAACTATGCATAATTACTAGTAGATATTCACCAAATCGATTACGAAGTGAGTACATATTCTACATACGCTGCCATAACAGCCTTAATTGAGCAATGGTTCTAAATTCGATCTAAGCTAGCCTAATGGACCGCTGCTACGGCCGGCATTTATACTATTTGCTTTGACAATCAAAAGAGTAGCATGACACCGAAACTAGTTATGTTCTCAATAGACGTAGATGAATCACCACATCGTGCGCCAGGCGTTTGAAAGTTTGAAGAGAGACAAAATTTCCAATGAACTAAAAAGGCTCTTGCAACAAGCTAATAAGGTGAGTAGTCTCATGAGCCATGGACACAAAGTAATGCAAAAGGAGTTGAATGACGTACAAGCGGATTGTGATGATGCCATGAAGCGAATGAGGGATCATCAAACTGAAATGATGGATTTTAAAACGTTTATTCCTATAGCCTAGGCTACTCTAGATGAAAGTTGAATTTAGGAAACGCTGACATTTTCTATTTTTTCTTTTTGTGGCTATTTATTCTATTTTACAGTATTGAGAAATCTTCTTTTTTTGCCTGGAAAGCAATGAAACGTAGACGTTGAAATGGTTCGCTTCGAAAAGGTATTTTCAGTCAATTCGTTTGTTAGGTATATTTTCTTGCCCATGTAAACTTTCCTTGTGTTTATTTACAGGCTGGTCGGAACATTGAATCGGCTTCAGCAAATAATTATTACGTTAATAATATTAAAGTTGTTAATTGGATATTCACTGAATCCCAGTTTTCTTCCTATAAAGAGTCAGCTTAAACTTGACTGCAGTCAGGATATGATGTCCACAATTTCAGATTTCTATTTCAATTTATAAAAGCATAAGACTTAATAACAGACGGAAGGATGGACAGTCGAATTTGACTTACCCCCGCTAAGAATCCATAAATCCACCCAAATCAGTTGCGGTCCATGCTGGTGAATGTTCCATCGGTAAAAAAACACCAGAAGAAAATAAAAAGCAGAAAAACTAATCTTAGGAAACTTTCTTATCAATTGTACACTCTCACATAACTCAAAATTCCATACTCTCACATAATTCAAAATTCCATACGCTACTTTTAAATTTAAAGAAATAAAAAGGAGGAATTTAAAGAAATAAAAAGGAAAATGGAAAAATTGCCATTTTCATTTTTCAAGTGTACTATTTACCTATCAGTTTTTTTTAAATTTCAAGGAATTCGAAAAAAATAGATCATCCAATTGTGGATTGACTGAAATTCGCTATGACATTACGGTCTAAACGAAATTCTTTGTACCATTATTGAATTAAAATTTTCCTTTTTAAAATTAGAAGAAGAGACAGAGGCTGTTGAAGGCAATAAAAATTTTAAAATTCCTTTTTAAATGCGATTAATCAGGAAAGACAGAAAAAATTAAAAATAAGGATAAACGTAACTGCCGCGTAATCATATGATTTAGCGAAATGCTCTGTTCCGCTATAATATACGATCTTTGTTGATACGATAATAGAAAAACAGAAGAAGCATCGAATCAAGTACTTTTTTTGACTTTTGTTGACGTTTGCATTGATTGAAATAATTGTTTTTGTTGTTTTTTTATATGAGAAATCCTTTAAAAAAATGGATTTAAATATTTTAATAGGAATCGCTTCAGCTTTATTGGTTATTTTATTAACGTTATATTTTCTACAAAGAAAGAAATCTAAGCAAGGTAAATGGAAAAGCCCCTGTTTTAGTTATAGAGCAACAATTAAGAAAAACAACAAATTGCAGATGCTGAAAAATCTCATCTACATCACCGGGCACAAAATCAACGTAATCAAGAGGCAATACCACGACGAGCTCAGATAGTACGAAATCAGCGCAATCGTTTAAGACAAAACGCCGTTGTTAACGCTCAGGTAGATGAGGAGGATAGCGAAGGCGATGGAGAAACGGCGGCTGATATGCCCAAAGGTCAAATTTTGGATGAGAAAATGGGTGCTAAAAAACGTGCTAAATTGGAGGCCAAAGAGCAAAAGAAACTTATGCGTGAACAAGAATTGAAACAACGCGAGGAAAGAAAAGTAAAAGAAGCTAAATTAGAAGAAGAGCGCAAAAAGCAGGATGAGCAGGAAGCGGCCGAACAACACAAACAAGCAGAAATTGAACGCTTAGCCCGCGAAGAGCAAGAACGTAAAGAACTTGAGGAGTACCTGAAAATGAAAGAAGCTTTCAGCGTTGAAGAGGAGGGTTTCGGTGAAGGCGATGACGAAGAAAAGAATAATCTTCTCGCCGATTTCATCAAATACATCCAAGATAATAAAGTAGTTGTATTAGAAGATTTGGCGATAGAATTTAAATTGAAAACGCAGCAAGCAATTGATCGAATTCAAGAATTGCAGAGTAACGGAACTTTAACGGGCGTTATAGATGATCGTGGCAAATTTATTTATATATCGGAGGATGAGCTAATGTCCGTAGCGAAATTTATAAAACAGAGAGGGCGTGTTTCCATAACTGAATTGGCAGAAAGTAGTAATAATTTAATTCATTTAACACCTTTAGCAAGTATTGACTAAAAAAGGACCACTTAGGCGGCATAAAGTTGTAAGAAAAATTATATAAAAAATTTAATTTTTTATTTAAAAAAACTATAAAAAAAGAAATTAAAAATATAATAATATAGACTATAAATAATAAAAGTAAATAATTGCTTTGGATTCTTAATTATTCATGCCATTGTCTTCAGCGGCATCCATATCCATTTCGTCATCGTCATACTCTTCTTCGCTTGTCTCATCGGGGTCATTGGCTTCTCGCTGACATTTAAAGCATTCGCAAACAAATATATAGTTTTCTTTAAGGATCTATAGAGAAATGTTGAAAAGAAACGTTATAAAAAATCTCAGCATATTCCAAATTTCAGATGCTTACGAACCTTTTGACGAGAATGTCTGCTTCTTTCCAATTGACCTTCATCGAGATATGAAATACAAATTTCCTCTCCCACTTGTATGGGTTGTAAGGCTTTCAAAACAACAATATCATTAGAGTAAGGAAATGTTACCTGAGCATTCGGTAAACAACTATGGTTGATTTTACTTTGAAGCAAGTAAAGTCCAGAACCTTCATTGTTTAAGAATTCACCAGCAACTGTTGAACAATTTAAAGAGAAATGGAAAAAGTTTGCCGATCAGAAAGCTATTTTCGAATATCTCTCTCTATTTCATTAGTTTTAATTTTTCAATAACTTTTTGATTAACTACGCTACACTAAGCTTTATTTAATCAAATTATATCGATGAGCAGAAAAATCTTTTACGTATGCAAATTAAATATTGATCGGTTGTAAATAAGAAGGACTTTTCCAGAAACGCTTTAATAGACTTGCATATAGAACATAGGTAAAACTATCACACAAACTATTGAGAATAAACACCAACACAATCAGAAAATTTCTTGTGTTCTTTCTTTACATTCATGTATATTTGCTATGGCAGCCAAGCGTTAATAACTATTGCAATTAACGTGAGCAATTTTAAAGAAATTGACTTACATTCTCCAACTTTGTGATAAATGTCATCAATATATTCATCCAATTTGTTTTTATCAGTTTCCGGTAAAGGCAATTCCGTAACTTTTTTTACCCATTCGGCTAAAACGCTCGTAGCAATGCCTTGACTATTTGTGCCCATTAGACCCATAAGTGCCTTGAATGCTTCCGGGGTGGTAAACTATAATAATAATAATAAAAAAAAAAAAAAAAAAAAAATTCGATAACTTATTTAATAGATATTTAATACAATTTATGTATACGTCCACCATGCTAAACTCTTCCCCTTGAAATGCTTCACAAAAAGCTACGTATAATTGTTCCATTTGTCGTTCGAAATTCTCTCCTAACATTTTGTGATAAATACGTTGCTCTTTGTTTATAACTAACGATTGAAATGATTGTAAATTTTCTAAAAATTCCTTCTTATTATTGCTTTCCTGATACATAGCCAGGAGTCGTACTAATAGCTGTATTGTGCCCGTCTCGGGAGGATAATGCATTTTCCTATAGAAGAAACGTTATCAATGATTAATAAAGATTTAAATAAAGAAAACAAAAATCAACATACTTCCATATTTCATTTAGTTTATTAATCGGATGAGAATTATCGTTCCTGTAGCTACCCAAACAGGCAATGCGATGATATCGTTTTAGTGCCTCGATGCGGCATTCTTCTGAACAATAACGTACTCTACACTTTGAACAACTGGTAAATTGCTTCAACCATTGTGCTGTAGGATCGTATTCCGTCAAAGGCACTTCTAAACCCGGCTGATTAGCTAAACGCCTTATATTCTCGGTTATTGTTTCTAGCGGGCGCATGCAGTGATCACAGGCCGCGTAACCGTAAGCCGCATTCCATGAGAATTGACATGACACAAACGGTTCTTCTTCAAATATAATGTCGTCCGTATTAAGCGATTTTGTGGACACCATTGCGCGTCCCTAAAGATTGGACGATTATTTCATGTTATTATTTATTTATTTTTTGTTTTTCTTTTCTTTTTTTTTTTTTCTTTGTAGTAACATATTAGAAGGCATTTCTACGTACTCTACCCGGTATTTCTTTGATTTCAAAAGCGTACATCACTTTTCTTCTTAAATGTCTAGAAAAGAATTTTTCTGTTTGTAATAAAACTTGTTTTTATTCAACATGTGAAATACTGCTAATGTCCTAGAGTTACCCCCTCTACTATAGGGCAAAATTTTCTATCTATAAAGAGACCGCAACTTACGTAATAAGAGGTTGTTATAGTAAGCACTTGTATATATATATACCTTAGTGAAATCCTAAATGCAAAGGTTTGTGCTTGCAGCGGAGAAACGTGAAGTAAATAACTGCTGTTGAAGAACTTGCAAGTAAATAACTCTATCAAGTATATCCTCGAAAAGATTCTTATTCCTAGTCCTATCTAGGTAATGAGATTTCTATTTCGGATCAGTTTGGAACAGGGAAGTAGGGACGATTTTTGGCATCGTTTGTCAAACGCCAATAGCTAATTGCTGACACGATCAAGCTTCGCTTATACTCACAGGCCTGAGAGAGACATTTACTTTGGAAATTATTACCTACGTATAATAACAGGTAGTTATTCCATGCGCTTATATATCTATAAAATCGAGTCATAAGCAGCCTCCAATGCAACTAGTTAGAATTTATTGTTCGTATTTACCCGCTGATAAGTTAACGAAACGAACGAGCTTTTCTTTTCACTATATAGACGAGGATTCACTTAGTCTTTTGTCAACTGTTTTATGTGATGTATGTTACATTCAACTGTTTCTCTTGACCTCTGAAATGAAGATTCAAAAAGTTCATATTGGACTTTAAACAAGGCAGTAACGTTAAGGCGAAAGCTGAAAAAATATGCACCATCTACCATCAATGGCAAAGAAGGGCCTGAAGAACGCAAGAAATTTGAAGATAATGAATTTCAATTCTTATTGGACGAAAAAAAACCCAGCTCGAACTATCGAAGAAAATTCAAACAGCTAAGCAATCAACGGTTTCTAGACGTTTACATGCGATGGGCGAGGTTCAAAAGGAGGGAAAACGGCTATTTGGCAAAATGACTGAAAATGTCATTTCGACCCCGTTCAACATGTATTGTGACTGGCGATGCAAAGTGAATGTACTATGACAATCCCAAAAGCAAAAAGTCATGGATTTACACAGGAGAGCCATCCACATCAACATCGAAGCGGTAATATTCATGGCCATAACGTTTGGCTGTGCATGTGATGGGATCAGCAAGGTAGAGTGTGTTAGAGCTTCATAATGCGATTAAAACTGTTACTGCAGAGGTCTACTGAAGTCAGTTCAATAAGTTGAGTGATATATGATAATGGCGTGTTTTCAATAAATGCCTTTTTCAAATGAAAGATTGGCCAAAAAACATGCAACCATCTTATATATACATACATATACATTAACGAATGTTTGTTGTAAAATAGAGAGATGGAAAGAGAAAGCAAGAATTTAATAATCTACAACGTAATGTACGATATTTGCATGTACGATAATTGATATCGTAATTTTTGCGGAATTTTATAGCATTTCATAATTAATTATATAAACCGCTACTATATTTACGATCTTAGTATCTATCTAAGTTCGAAATAAATATTCTTTTCCAGTATTAAGTTCAAAATAAGAGGATATTCTTGGTCAGCCCAGATAACTCGGTCTGTCAATTGGAGTCGCGAGTGCGGTGCCAAGTTTGTATGTAAAAAAAAATTATTTTCAAATTTATTCCTACAACTTTTATCAGCGTACGTTCAAAAACCATCCAAATTGGTTCTTAAGCGTCATGACTGCTCCATGGCTCCAACTTACGGAATTTTATTCGTTCTTATATTACGATAGGTAACTTTTGTTCATAGCTTTAAGTTGTATCACATATTTTTATTTAGAAAAATTTTCAGGTTGCATAGCGCTTGTCAGACGGCCTGTCTTTATGGCGGTCATTAGAAAATCGTATACCAGAGCGGCTAGTTGCTACAGTGATGGTATCAATGAATTTGATTGATGGTCGATTATATATTTTCTCCTTTGAGATCAGTTAAGAGTAAGCGGAGTATAGCATTTGAATGAAACTTGGATTTTAGTGACAATTTAGCGTCAGATCATATGGTCTGACGCCTGATGGATTATTTTTTGTACGCATATGTTATGCGATTAACCGAGTATTGGGTGAAAGTCGTGTAAAATCAATATTATAGTCTTCTCGAGCACAATTGCTTAATATCAAAATGAAACCTTTGCTAAGGATGGAACGTCTGGATGGAACGAGTTTCACTTGAAACTATTTCCACTTTAATGGATACATGTACAATTTTATTTATTTATTATCAGTTAAGACGGGAAACATTGAATGTAGAGATTTGTATAATTAACCTTTGGACACATGCACACACACTTTTGTGGTAATGTGCTAAGGAACATCACAAGGCATAAGACAGAAGAAATTTTTCTTTTTGGTTTATTGGACTTAAGAACATTATTGCATAATGCAACCGATATCGGAGGATTTTCTCATCATATATATTAAAATTAAAGCAACTACAACAATTGATCGATCACAACACCAAAATATGCCTCTTAATCCCTTAGTCTCTATTTCTATTCCGTTTCACTGTTTTTTCCTTAATCTCATCTCATATATTGCTTTGTTATGTCGTTAGGGTTACTTGGCAAAACGAATGGAATCTCGTTTAACTGTCCGTTTGCATCTAATAATTGATAAAGTAAAACAACTTTTTAAAAGTGTTTTTCTCTTTTTTTTTCAAAATTCAACAACATATTTTTGTTTAATTCATATTTTTTTCGTTTTCATATTCTATATATATATATATGCATATCTTTTTTCTTTTTCCATTAAATCTTACATTTATAATAGTAATAATAATAATAAAATATATGTTGTGTTTATTTATTTATCTTTGGAAACTATTCTAGCTTTTTATGCCCATCATCACTGAAGGATAGATAGGAGCTCTCTATTTATTAGATTAGATTTGTCTTTCTTTTATAACCTTGAGAAATATTTATTATAGATCTTGTCGAGTATATTACAAGCCAATGTAGTTGTGCCTATTTGGCAATCCGTCCGTCCGTCCGTCCATCCGTCTAACCTTTATGGTACGCACTTGATTGCAAAAACCGAAACGCAAAGGTCTCAAAGTTAACTTATAAATTTTAAAATTGCAACCACAATCATCTTGTGGTAGGCGAGGATGTATGCACAACATAGAAGCACTTGAGAAGCAGCTCCGCCTTTTATTATATCATCCGATTCGGAATCACTTTTGGAATCTATCTAAGCTTGTCTGTCGGTCGGTCCTTCTTGTTTTCTTATGTTCAACCTAGAGGTTTCAATTTTTGAAATATCTTGAAAAAGTTTAGTACAGCGACTTGTTTCGGCCCAAGGATGAACACTATTAAAAATGGTTTGGATCGAGTTGGTTTTCCGATCACTTTCAATACAAGACATTATTTTAAACAGCTGTTACATGAATAACCGAATTAAGGAAAATTGTGTAGGGTACCTAATGGTAGACCGTATCCTACTATAATCTTTTCACTTACTGTTCTTATATACAATAAGATAAATTATTATAATTTTTAAAAATTAGTTGTAAAATTTTTACAGAAAAAAAAAGTACTAATTAACTCTTTTTTTATATTTGGCTTCGACCGAGCCTTTTATACCCATATCCGCTTCATTCTGATCGATAACATACAGACTTTGTAGAGTTTCTGAAGCTTCTTTGTGGGTGCTGCAAACGTTTTGATAAAAGAGCGATACTTCAATATTCTACATTATTGAGTAGGCGTGACCGGATTTTCCCACTTTCGTATAGGTGTTGCAGGATCATCCATGGAATATAAATGTAAATTTTTATCATTGTAAATGTAATTTTCTATGGGTGCGCCCTTTGACCGATTGGGTTCTATTTTAATACCAACCTGGGTGCAAGAAGTTTCAATGTTTGTGGCAAATTTGAAGACGATTTCTGTATTCTTGCGAACGGGAGAATGTTTACCACCTAAATGACAGACGGACATCCTCATATCGGTTTAGAATTTGATGCTGCTTAAATATATATATATACTTTAGGGAACGTCTGAAGCTTCCTTCAGTCTGTTGCAAACGTTTCGATAAAAAAGCTATGCTCCTCACCCCTCGGTAATGGATATAAAAGTATTATGATCCCGAAGGAACTAAGTTTCGATACTTTACGATATAGGGCGTTAATGTATGGGCGTGGCTGATTTTTTCCAATTTGTGTAGAGGCATTGTAGAATCACTTGTTCAAATGCAGTCATTGTTGTAACTGCTATAATGGGTATATAAAGAAAACTGTTTTCTTTGGTTATGAAAATGTGAAAGTCATTCTTAGTTTGTATTGTACTAAAGGCGGATCGTTTGATCGATTTACCCGATGACCTTTATATCTGTCTTTTCAAGCAGACGCGCTTTTCAAGGTTTCATTTTTCTATAACAATTTTTCATTTCTGAAAGTTCCAATAATCGCGGACGCATGGACACGGACAAACGGGTTCATTCTCTGGCGGACAGACATTATTAGTATAGGTTTACACTCTGGTGATGAGCATAAACATTAGATAACAAATAGCTATTTATACGCGTAGTCTGTAGCCTGTCGATTCCCTGGGGCGCTTGTCTATCCGTCTGGTATTTTTATGTTCAGATTTGAAATATTTTAATTGGGGCTTTGCAGAACGTCGTGTTTTGACCCAGAAAGGAACGCTATTGAGTATAGTACAAATCGGAGTACTTTTTTTGATCACTTTACATGCACGTAGGATATTTAATGTAAAGTTGGCCATAGCCTGCTATAATGTTTTTACTGCCCCAAATCACCAATCAGGTTGAAGATTGGCTAAGATTGCTTGATAATCGTTTTTTCTCCGTTTTCTTTGAGGTTATGTTAAAGGATTTGTTCCAGTTCTTTTTGAGGTTGGGCATTTGTTCTAGAGTCTAACGATATTTTATCGGGCAATACAATTAAACAGCGCAAAAATAATATTAATAATCGATTCTTTCTTGCTTATCAAAGTCGGTTAATTAAATTAAAACTTGTATTGTAATTATCATTGGAAAAGGCTTTTTTTTTTAAATTGAGTTATAAATGAATTTTTTAAAATAATTTTCCAAATCATAAATTAGATTAAAGTTACTCTAAGGTCACTTTCTTTATCTTTATTTATTATTATTTTTTTGTGCTTTACTTTTCTTTAAGGTTATGTTGAAACATTTATTTTAACACTCTTTATCCGAGGTTCTTATGATAGTTCAACTTGCGACTTTTTTATGGTGCACCAGAACAAAAGCAATTTAATTAATCGAAATTTTTTTTCTTTTTTTGCTAATCGAAGTTTGCATTCGTTCGAACGTCATTATAGAATTCTCCTCTATACATATCATGGCGAGAATTTTGTGACTGCAGGCCATGTGTCAAAATGATGCACCTTAGCAAAGAGTCTTCGCGTGTTTTTAGAAAGAATTGTGAAATGGCGACATTTTCGAGTTACGATTCCAACAATGGAACTTGAGATGTTCATCCAACTCTTTTTTTTACAACATCTTTGTTTGCCCTATTTCGGAGTAATAGAGTAGAGGGTTCTCCATTACGAATAAATGAACTTTTTTATATGTAATTTTTATTCTAGCGCGAATTTTAAAGCAAGTTTTTATACCCTACTTAAGATAAACACAACCTTTAGAATGCCAATAGGTTCAGAGTCGATCTGTCCACGAACTTTTTTGTTCTACAGATCGCAATTCTTCATATACTTTAAAGCACTGACGTGGGTTGACCTAAGGTGGAATGCTATTGAAAGTGGTTCGGATCAGTTCAACTTTTCGACCGCCACCCATATAAAGAATAAGCAATTTTCACAACTTTTAGCGCCAAGTAATAGCATTTCGACATTCGAAATTGATAGGAAAGCTTTAGCTCAGCTGGCCGCTCTCACATAACCAATCCTACGACAACTGATTCTTTATATAAGACATTTGTCTTATTTTCAATATTTCATGGTGACAATTGGTTTACAACAGTAAATTGACAAAGAACTCAAATTTACCCAATTTAGACTACGTAGGTCTAATTTTTGGATACCACTGCCTATGACGCTTTTTAGGAAATGGAAACTTTTATATGCCAAATAGCCCTAATTTTGTCCTTAGCAAATTAACCATAGCGAATTTGGACTACATAGATCTATTTTTTGGGGAACTCTCATGAAAGCCACTGCTTCGTTTCCTATGACGGAAATAAATGGAAAGTAATAAAATATTTGACAACCCCTTTTGCGTTTTTGAAATTTAGACCACGTTGAGGTTTGAGTATCCCCCAATATGAGGGCTTTGATGAAAATTTATTTAATAATATAAAAACAATGGGCAATTTTCGGTGCATTTATTTAATTAAGCGAAGCGGTGTAGAGCCTCTAATGGGGTCGATCTTGCCCTACTATAACATTCTTAATTGTTTTAATTAAATTTGTAACTTTCTACCTTCCATTTAAGATGAACGAGGGCGTTTGTGTTGCCTGTGTATGAAGATTACGTGAGACAATAAAAGTTAAATCTAATATGCTTTGAGTGATCATCGAAAGCGTTTCTTGAATAGTGGGCACAACGAATGAATTTCAAGTTAAGCATAAAACATTATTTATTTGCAAGAAAAAGAAAAACAAGTTTTTTTTTTTCAATATTTTTGTCAATATAATCGAGAAGCTTTTAAAGCAAGGCTTTTTTGTGTATAATAAGCCCTGTTGTAGAAGAGAAAACAATTTTTATTTACTGTTTGTTTTAAATAATTTAAAAGTGTTTCGTTTTTAATGTTAAAAAAATATTCTTCTTTTTTTTTTCTTTCTTTTTTTCTCCTTTTTACATGTTGGTTTTTATGAATTGCGTTAAATAAAATAAATTTTTGCTTTCTTGATTTGTTTTTAAAATAAATTAAACTTTGCTTTCTTGTTATATAATAAATTCTTTTGCCCTAAATTATTTTGTTTTGTTTTTATAAATTAAAAAAAAAAAAAAAGCAAAAGAAAAAGAAAAAAATTAGCAGAGAAAAAATTACAATTAATAATTATAGTAAAATATAATATATTTAATAATAAAAATAAAAAAAATAAACGAATTTTCATTAATTATTTGTTAAAATTGTCTCTGAAGAATTATTATTATTATTATTATTTTTAATATTATTAATTGAATTATTCACTAACAAGAGCCATTTCACGTGCTCGATTCGGCACTGCTGGCTGTGTTGTTTTTTGACTTAAAGCTGACGCGGCTGCTTTACTCAATTTATCACAATTATCGCTTAGTACACTTTCGGCATCGTTTTCATCTTCGGATACATTATCGGCTTCTTCGACATCGGCCAACGGAGCTCCATTTATATCTACTGTTGCTTTCGTTGTATCCTCCTCCTCCTCTACGGCTTCTGTGGCAAGTGATACATCCGCTAAGGCATTCTTATCATTGCCTTCATTACTATCATCAACATTATCATCTGCATCGCCTCCCCCATCGCTGACGCCATCCTCACCTTCCAATTGGGTTTTATCTTCTTCGGGTATATCTTCAATTAAACTGCGTGTACCCGAATCCAAAGAAGGCGATTTAATTTCTACCGTTGTGGCTGTATCCTCGTCTTCCGATAATTTTTTCTGTAATATGGGATCGGAGGCACGTAGAGAATTTTCAACTCCACCTACAGCATCGCCGCTGGGTCTTAAAACCAAATATAAAAGTATATCGGACAATGATATAATGCCAATAACACGTCGTTGCTCATCCACCACCACTAAACGATGCACTTCTGCTCGTACAATGCGTTCCAGTATTGTGTACAGACTCTCATCTAAATTACAACATTGAACACCCTCAAACCATTCGTTGCGATGTTCGTTAGCTTTACGCAGCGATACATCGAGGTCGTTGTAGGTTTTTTCAGCAGCTAAATTCTGAAATGAATATGAAAAAATGATCCATTATTTTGGGCGAAATCAAACTCACCAGATTCCAGATTGAATTTAAGAAAAATATATATTTGTTTCATTTGTTTCTGACGTTAGGTTTGGAGTGTGCATGAAGAGTATCCATATGAAGGAGGAGAAAGCAGATCTAATCGGTGTGGGGTTTTTTTTTCAAGTCTTCCCTTACTAAAATGCTAGGATACAGGCTTAATTTGTTTAAGTGATTACTACTAAAGCATTTCAATACTTCTTTAGCTTTCATGTCATCAAAATCGTTATGTAATACGGGACTTTTGGTTTTAGACTAATATCTCTGTAACGTTTCTAGCGGGATCTCGTATATACATAGTAGCTTTAGAATGACTTTGTGGAGTAAAACTTTCTCCTTCTGACTATGCTTGGATTATGGCCCGAAAAGTACAGTACAGTGCTTTGTTCTCATATGTAGCAGTTGCCATTTTTGTAGGCCGGCATTTCTGAAAACGGATCGCACCCATTTTTTTATTTCGTTATCTTAAGCACTCAAGGAACGTTTATACGAAACTTTAGCTTAGCGAAAATTTACCCGTCAAAGTAATGGGTTTCCGTAAATTTTGTGTTAAGCAATGGGAGCGTGTGTGTGTGTGAGTGTGTATGTGCGTAGATAGTATCTCCTAAGTCTCATCCCTTCTGAATTAAAGTCAATTACTTACAATCACATCAAATTTGGCATAAATATCCACTAGACGTCCTTCGGCATCGACCAGCGGCAAAGCGGAAACACGTCTTTCGATGAATTTCTTTAAAGCACTTATTATGCTGGTATTCTCATCGGCCGTCTCAATATTGTCGTAAGTGCCAATTTTAACATCGCGTAATTTCTTTTGCATATACGACGGTTTCGGTAATTCATTAATCTAAATAAATGAAAGAGAGAAAAAAAATAAATAAAATTTCTCGCATGCAATCTTTGAAATTTGAGAAGAAAAAAATTGCAAAAAAATATTCGCTTACATATAAAAACAGGAACCTTAAAATACGTTTATGTGTTAATATATACAAAACATTGCCCGTAGCTGGATCTATGACCGGTAAACGATGTATACGATTATGGATGAGTATCTTAATGGCATCATATAAGGAAGCATCTGGACCAATACTAACCAAAGGCATGACTTCGTTATGTAAAACGCCTTTGTTTTGTGGGAAAAGAAAATTATTATTATTATTATTATTATTGTTTGTTTTTTAATTGACTTAATGTGTACGTATATAAGATAGTTTGACTTACTTCTCCAGGTATCCAATTTGTGCTCTTCCAATTGTTCTATTGAGGCATTCGGTGATTTATAATACATGCGTAAAATTTTTATAAAATCTGTTATGGTCAACATGCCAACAAATTGTTGCTTCTGTGAATCCCATAGAGGGGCGGCACGCACCCCATTATAAACTAAAGCGTAAAAAGCTTTCTTCACCAGCAATTGTGTATCGAATACGACCAATTTGGCAGAGGTCGGTATTAAATCGTAGCATTTATGAAAACGGAAAAATTTCACAAATATTTGAGAATCATCCTCTTCTGCAAAGATAAAAAATCAACGAAAAATGGATTTTAAAATAAAAATTCAATATTCTTTTGCTCTTCTTTTTTTCAAATAGTTATACCCTACACAACACTTGTGATAAAAGGGGATAATAGCGTTGTGCGGATGTATGTAACAAACAAAGTATTCGAGGTAGTCCCAGTTTTTGTTATACTTATCGAGGCAGTGTCACTTTCTGAGACGTTCTAAGCTTCTCCGTCCGTCTGTCCATTTTCTATTCTTGTGTTCAGCCTTCCTTTACTTCGTTATTTTTGATATATTTAGATGAAATTTGCAATTTTGACGAGTTTCGGGTATTACGTCGGACCACCTTTTCGACGACTTCCAATCAAACGTCTTATTATATGCGTAAATAGCTGTATTCGGCACGATAGTGCAGGATATTTGGCGGTGGGCCCTCTCCTACTATAATATGTTTGCTTTCGCATCGATCTAAGCTTGTCTGTCCGTCTGACTATAGAGTTTTTTGATGTTCAACCTACAGGTCGTAATTCTGGAGATATTTTGATGAAATTCGCTACACCGACATATTTTGACCCGAGGACAAACCCTATTGGAAATCCGGATCCGGATCGGATAAGTTTTTCGACAATTTCCCATATAAGGACTTATTTTAAAAGATCTAGTTTGGTGTATAGGGCGTTTAATGGTCAGCCATGGCCTGCTTTAGTTTTTATACTTGTTTTATTTATATTTTAATATTTAATTGGTTTTTTTTTTTTTTTTTTGTTGATAGCTGTGATCACCTTTTCTTAAAATTTCAGCTAAGCAACGTTTCCAAGCTTGCGATACTTGTTCGAATTCTTTAATGCTTTCGATGGGATATATTTCACGTTTCCACCAAACTTCGGCGGTCGATTCTTGATCAAGCACCAAAAGACCGGCATAATTTGAATAGAAATGAAGCTGTAACATGCGTTATGCGACCAGCACACGTTATAAACGCTACTTTTTCACTCACAAATTTGCACAATATTCGGAGGTTTATTTAAATTCAATTTTAATTTTCGTTTGATGTTCGAAACATGAGAGAAGTGCAGCATTACCACCAGCCGAGTCTTAGTAAATTAAGAAAGTAATGAGTGAACACAAAACGAAGGGAGATTTGTAGGCAGGATTCAATTTCACAAATTAATGGAACATAAATGCAAAGGATAGAGTTCGTTATGATAATGGTTTAAATAAAAGAAGACGAAGATCTGTTATAGTTAAGTCATTTATTTCCTATATATCGTAGGAATTTGCTAAGCCATTCTTAAAGGGATGGATTATTTATCAAAAACACGAAGCATCTTTGATCTTTGCTCTGCTTGGCCAACGTTCACGCCGACGGGCATTCATTAAAGCCATTTGGTTTATCGTCCTCACACGAGTAAAGGGCTTAACATAAAAAAAAGACTTTAAACCCTTGTTGCCTTGCACTTCAAGGCCAAGCCTACAAGAGTCTCGATTCGCTTTCAGAACTGCTTGGACAAGGGACAAGGGTTATACTAAGATCAGATCGAGTAATATTTGTCGGGCCACGTCGGAATACATGGACATCCATGGACATTTTTATTAAATTTATTTCGACTATTGATGCGTAATATCAAAATTATACAACTGCGATAAGAAAACACTATTGTCCCTTATAACAGGTTATCGCTGCAAGTGATAGATTTTATTGCAATAGCTCCGAGGACACGTTCAGTTTACGCGAATGTGTATGACACTTAGAGGGACTTCAGGTGGACATACCTGTATTCAACAACAACAAACATATCGTAATCACTTTTTAAATTCATCTAAGTTTCTTTGCGCGTCCGTCCACCCGACCGTCCCTCTGTCTTGTATTCTTATGTTCCGCCCTTGTAGGTTGCAAAATTGGGCTTACACCGACAAACGTTGTTGAAGACGGTGTAGATCAGACCACCTCTGCGAAATGTAAACTTGTCTGTCCGTCTGTCCATCTTACTAACATGCGTTCAATTTGCGTGTCGCAGATTTGCATTAGAAAATTTTGTGCGATTTGCGAACTCAAAATATAGGCAAAGAAAGAAAGAAATAAAGAAGGCTTTTTAGTTCTTCGCACAATACATATCAACAGACCTGAGATATTAAAAAGAACTTTTATGAGTCTCTCTCAAAAATAATATTTAATTAAAATTTACCTATGAACTTGTTCTTTTTCTTTTAACTCATTAACAGTAATATGAAATGTATATATACATATATATATATTTTCTTTTTTTCTTCTAATTAATTAATCGCTACATTAAATTTTGTTTGCAAATGAATTTTATTAATTAACCGCACTAAGCATCGCGAGCAGTGTAACGTTCCTTCAAAAAAAAAAAGGAAAGAAATAAAATCACGCAAGGAAATCACGTTTGGCTGTGACCGAGTCTTTCGCATCCACTGCACCCTTATCGCATAAAAGCGAAAAAGAGTCAATATTCATACTTTATAATATGAGGTAAAGCGTGGACGATTTGTTCCATTTCTATAATGATACTGCAGGCTTAGCCCCATAGATTATACGAGCAAGTTTTTCTAGGTTTATCTCTGCTGCAGAGCAAAGAACTAACTTGTTCCTTCTAAAAGCAAAGGATTTTTATATGGTACTGTAGGCGTGACCTTCGACGGATTTGCAGCCCCGATTGGGTGGCAGAATTTCCAATGTTTGTGCCGATTAATTTTTGCGATCAGGATAATCTTTACAACGGACAGACAGACGGACGTGTTTAAATCGTTTCAGAATTTGATGCTATACACTTTATGGGGACTCTAAAGCTTTCTCTTGCATGTTGTAAACGGTTTGAGAAAACGCATATATCGTCCTCCCATATCCTCTGGTAGGGAGTGAATGAGCTTTTCCGTCAGTTGTCTTTTTAAAAAGTTGAAATAAGAGAGAGAGAGAGAAAAACTTTTAACTTAAAACGAATCATACGTGGAATCCTAGCCATAAATCTTCAAGTGTCGTTGCGTTTAGGGAAACGTAGGAGTAAATAATGTATCTTAGGTCGATTGCCATCTTTTACATTTAAAGTGGCCTCACATCTTTACTTGTAGGCATCACAAGAGAAACGAGGTTGCGGTAAATTATTCCCATAAGTTGTATAATGAAGCAGTGGTGACCAATATCCTGTTCGCCAGGCTTTATGTAAAATCTTTACATTACTTATATAACAACTATGGATGGTATTAAGAATATATGCAGCGGCCACCAAGCCTTCACAGTCCTCCTATAGGGTCTTGTCCAGTCAGGCTATTTTACTAAAGGGTAAATCGCGGAATATTCGGGTAATTTTTCATTGAATCGATCATGCGGTATGTGACTCAACTTTCAAAAGAAAATTTAGGAAGATTTTAAAATGTATTCGCATATAATTAGGGAATAATTTCATTCGCTCAGTAGTAATTAAAAAATTAAAAAAATTACTTCTCTGAACGCTATGAACTTTTATTTTTACATAATGGGCCGAGTTTCTTTTCTTAAAGTTTGAAAAACATGATGAAGATGATGAAGGGTCTTAAAGGCCCCCAGAGAACTATACCCTTTGCTTCCCTGCTATTAGTGAAAGTTGCGTAGCTTTTCTAAATAATTTATCTCGATCTTTTTGCAAGATCCCCTTTTGGCAACGGAAACCAAAATTCTCATTATTCGTTAGATACTTGAAGAAAATATCAATAGAAGTCTATCAAGAAGGCAATTACTTTAGGTGGCCGTAAATGTTGTAAATGCTTTTGACGTAATTGACGTTTAATGTATTCCCTAAACGGTACATTAAAATAGCACTTAAATACTGCAAATATTTTGCTTAATTAATTATTTGGCAACCGTAAGTAAATGCAGGCATTTTTATGTCTATTACTAAAGAAAGGCGGTACGGGGTATTTAAACACATCATGTTGATATAGCTGAGAGAAATCAACGACTAGGAAGAGAGTTAAATGATATGAATGGAAGGCGGTACACCATACTTCTTAGGAGAGGAAACCGGTTTTATTAACCTGAGCAAAGGCTCAACGAACGCAATATCTATATAGATAGGTATGATGAGGGCAATCTACTTAGAGATCGGACATGCATTATCAATGTCAATAGTGGCGACATCTATACGTCACTATACAAACTTATTGGGCAATCTGTCGTATATAAAATCTCGATCAGAATATATGTACGTTTATATATCAATATGAACAGCGGTCACATCTACGACATCCTATAAACTTATTGGGTGCTGTGTCATATCTATCTTCTTGACCACAACATTTAGACATATATGTGTATACATCAATGTCAATGTCGTTTATATGTCGTCTCGCAAACTTATTGAGCTATGTGTCATATATATCCTCTTGATCAGATTGTATGTACATATATGTATCACTATTAAGAGACGTCACATCGTATGACTTTTTGACTAGTGTGCTATATACATCTTGTCGATCCGAAGATATAAACATATATGTGTATATAGCAACGTCAGTGTCATCTATAAGTCTCCTTAGAAATTTATTCAGTGATGTGTCATATATATCATCTCGATCGTGATCTGTATTCATGTTAATAGAGGCGACTTCTATATGTCATCCTAAGACTTAATTGAGTGATGTATCATATATACATATATACATGTATATCAATATCAATAGCATCTGTATGTCATCCCACAAACTTATTGAGTAATGTGTCATATGTATCCATCAAAATGAGATTTCTGAATGGATTTATATAAACTTGAATCTCGATATCAAAAATTTTGATTCAATTTATGGGATGCGTAGCTTCAAAAATCGCCCCAGGTCACCCACGAAATCTTCTATGATGTATGTAAAATTCCGTTTGCCAAAGCGAGCATACCCGATTCTGTGCTAATGCAAAATATTTGTAAATTTCTTGCTTTACACGTTTAAGGATTGTGTTCTCATTTGATTTGCATTTCAACTAAAGCCATCCAATCTTTATCGCTTTACTTCTCCCTTTATGTCA